AGCCAGGTCTGGAAGTCCAGTAGGGTGCATAGTTGTCCACTTCCAAACTGACTACAGAGGATGCTGCACCCACGGAAGCCAGTAAACTCTGCTCACCATGCCAACTGCCTTGAGAGCTAGAAAGAGCACTGAAAACATTGCGGTTTGAAGACACGTCACTGAACTGGCCCAGACTGAGCAATGCAGAAGGCTGTACGGGGCCTGCTTCTGGCTGATCTGCTGAGTTCTGCTCACTCGCTCCTCTTGAGAGCGCAGGCGATTCATGTAGACGTGGAGAGAGTGGAAGCTGTGTGTTGTGTTGAACTCCATCGCGCTGAATAGAGGTTACTACTGTGCTAAGAGAGGAGTGGGAGTGGGAGTGAACAAGAGGAGATGCTGAGGGGGGTGCTCCAGCTCCTCCAACCCCCACCACATCCCCATGTCTTGACAAGCCACTCCCTGGCTGAGTGGAGACAGCCACAACTGGCTGAGAGGCCTGAACACTGGTGTCAAATTCTGATGTCCCATTGTTACATTGTGGACCTTGCTGTGTCAGCATGAGGCTTTGTCCATCAGACACAGAGTCCTGTGCTGTCCTCTTTGGAGGTATATTGTCAAACCCCTGCAAACCCAGGTTGTCTGAAAATGACCTGCTGGAACTCTGGTTGGCCTTCCAAGCACCTACTTTCTGCAGGTAGCTGAGGGTGGGTAGGGAACGCACTCTTCCTGCAGACAGCATGGAATCCTGATCCTTGGACTTCCTGATAGATGAAGAAAGAAGAGCATCTACGTTTGGTGAATAAGGAGATGTGTCCTCAGAGGCAGAGACAGGTACATATAGTCCAGTGGAAGGGGGTTCATGGTTATCTGGAATCTCATGCTGAAAAGGAGGGACATGTGACTCCGTATGAGCCGCTGATGGATCCAAAGATGTGACATGTGGAACTCCAGGAACTATCTGAAGATCTCTGGTGCTCAGGTCGAGAGCTGGCATCTGGCCTACTTTGGAACTACTGCTCTGAATAGACATGGCCATAGTAGCCATGGTTTCTTGATGGGAGTATAAGGGAGAGAGTTTGGTCATGGCTGGTGCTGCTCTATTAAGGAGCATGGCAGGTGTGGACTGAGACAAAGGCTGAGAAGTTAAGAAAGAACCATCTGCTGCTGTCTGGCTGCCTGAGCCCCAGAGCACTCTCTGTAACCCTGGCACACAAGTGATAGCTCCACTGGCTGGGGTGACACAAAGTACACTTGAAGTATCTTTGGTCCCACTTTGGCTTGTATGTCCTGGTGCAACATCACTATGCCTGTTAGACAGGAGAAGTCTGTGGGCCTGGGCAGCGGTGTGGTCTGCCTGTATGCTTGAGGAGCGAACAGTAATATTTGAGGTTGTGGATACCTGAGAGGAAAGTGACACACCAACATTTCCTGTGGTCTTTCTTTGGGACGAGGATGAAGAGGAGCCACCTTGTGGCTGCTCTCTACTCCCAGATGGTCTGGACTTTGGCTCTTCTGCAGACATATAGGCAAGATCAGTGTGTTTAGACTGGTTCTGAGAAGAGTGTGGTTGTTTTAGCACAGCTTCAGTTTGACTGAGAGCAGCCTCAGAGGCAGAAGAGACTGTACTGCTACTGGCTACACCAACATCTTTTTCTTGGTGTTCCAGCAAGGGACGAGCAGGAGTACCACCATCACTATAGGCACCCACAGCAGTCTTTCCTGTATTCAAATCAGCATCAGCCTGTTCCTTTCCCTCCATCTGTCTTTCAAAGTTTTTGTTCAGTCCACTCCCTTGTTCCTCATCATGAACGTGTGTTGCCTGGTAATGGCTACTAGGTGAAAGACTGTGCTGTGAAAGTGAGCAGCAGCTACTGCCACCTTCTGAAATGGCAGCAGTTTCTCCCAACGGATGCTGAGACAGTAAACCCTGTTCATGTGATGTGTTTGGAAAGCTGGATTCCACATCCTGGTGTGACGCGTAAGGGAACCTTCCAGAGGCAATGGACAGATCAGGATATCCCCTAAACACATAAACACAAAACACTTAGAATATTCTATACAACAGAAAACAAAAGGTATACATTTATAGTTCATCTTTAGAATACAGTACCTCAAGGGGAAAAATTCTGAATCTGTCTGATGCAGGAGAGTGGACTCAGAAGGGATGAGGGTCTTCCCCTGGGGTATCAGTGTCAGTGCGGGTGATAGATGGCTATCCTGAAACTCTGCCAAGGTGGAAAGCATAACTTTAGAAATATATCAAAATAATACCATAAAAACCATGGAGTAACAATTTTATTGTGCATTTTGTCATTGATGCAAGTAACAAACGCAGTTATTTAGAGTAACAGCAATGGTTTGATTTGTATTTACCTAACTGTAAAGATTCTCGCTGTGTTCCTGAACCACCCATTTTGGACAGCTGATCTTCAGTGCTGAGGGTGAGCCTATGTTGACCGTTAGTCTCATGCAAGGCTGATGTGTGTCCTAAAAACTGACTGGGATCCTCCTCTGCAGGGAGCTGGTGCCAAGACTCCATTCCCTACAAAGAAAAAAATAAAAGAATCAAGTTTAAAACTTTGATACCTGTACAACTATGCACCCAAAGCACTGTCAAAAATCTGTACAAATAAATATGAAACCAACCCAAAATTGTCTCAAGATGCAATATAGCAATTTCCAGCAATTTAATAAAATAAATAACCCAGCTGGTTTTGATCAATACCACTATGTTGCCTTATATAAATTCCATACAGTCTAGCTTTATAATGATCATGTTATGTTTTTCATATTATAGTGCTTGAGGTCAGCATTTTCAATAAAATCTCCAGTTCCCTTCATTCTCAATACATGTTATCAGGATTATTAACAAGTAAATAAAAAAAACAGAAATGTGTCTACAGGTTTGATAATAAATTTTGGCCAACTTGTGCCAATATATGAAACAATAAAAAGTTATTGCTATTTAACTAGCTATTCAAAATCAGCACGTGTTTGCTCATCATCACAGTTCTTTGATACCACACGGTGGGCAGCATTTCAATGCAATTCTCTGAGAACATTATGCACTCCAACAAATGACAATGCAAACCATATAGCTATATTTATTAAATGAAATTAATTAAGCACATGTAGCTGAAACACTACACACACTTAATAATGTAATTCCTGTGCCAGTGTTGAAATCAAACTAGTATAATTGTACTGTTAATATTTTTTTTCCAGTAACAAAAGCAATCTTAGTCTTACCTGAACATGTCAGCAGACCCCGCAATCATAAGGAATGGTTACTGACAAATGTAATCTTCGTTAAGATTGCAAGAGTTATTTATGTGGTGGTGATGGATAGTGAGCAGCATGCAAAACTCCAAATCAATAACACAGTTGTGAACGAGGTCTAAAAAAACACATAGCATTTGCCTGTCAGCCTTGAATCCTTGAGGTAAGTGCTAACCCCTATCTGCATGGAGATATTAGTGTGTCTAAAGTAGGGCTGTACAGTATGCACAGAATATAATGTATGCTGAAGGGGTGAAGATTATCTCCCATGGTAAATTACACATCAGTGTCTGCTGAGATAGGACAAAACCACTAAAACGTAATATTCGAATTTGTTTGAACATTGCCTCAAATATTTGACTATTCTGTGGAAAACACAGGTAGTGTTTCAAAAGTGAGATCTGTAACGTTAGTTAACGTTACCGTACATGTACTATCAGAAGTTTAATTAGCTAAGTCTGCAGATATATGCAATGTTCATACGGGCGCCGAGAACTCGATTTAACAATGTAACGTTAACGTTATAACTACTTATCCATACTGATAAAAGTATGTACATTGATTTTATTTCTATAGCCAGCTGCCTAGGAACATAGGCTAACCAGAATTAAGCTAGCTAATTGGCTAGCTTCTTTGGGAGACAAGAGGCAACGTTAGCATCCCTTCTGATTTTTATCTGTTCAGTTTGATTTCCAAACTTTGGGCGCTGTTCTTCATTCAGCGGATAAGATAACATTCACATAGCTATTTTACCTTACCGTGATCTTGGTTACTTAGCTTAATCTGGCTTGCTAGCTAGTGTCTGAGGTTTACCCACTTTATATGTCGGCACTTGTTGCTATGTCAGCTAACGGTAGCTAACGTTAGCTGGTTAACTTATCATGATTGTTGCCTAGTTAGCCAGATTATGGAGCCGGCGGGAAACCATTTATGAAGCACAGCTCTTCAAAACTACTGAAAAAAAACACGAAACAGTATTTAAAAGGTAACTGTATTCACCCTGTTCAAATCACTCACAGTGTTGAGACTAGCCCCGTCCTCGCCCATCCTGTAGGGTCTCCATTGTTGTTGTTGTTTCAGTGCTAGTACCAACTGTCTCTGGTTTCTATGAGAATAACTGACGTTTTCGCGTCTGCGCAGAAGAGGCACAGGGTTTAGACTAATCCAGATCTTCACAGATTCGGCATCTCTTCACTGCCAAGAAACGCTTTCTTCACTTCTTTTGTCACGAAGCTCTGCAACTGAAAATCCGTTTGTAATTGGTACTTAATTTATCCCAGCATAGATTAGCCTTGTGCAAGGGGTGTAAACGTAGTAGTTAACAGTGCTTTTGCTTTGGAACTGAGCCAAACCCATGTGCAAAATTTACCGCCACTTTGCGCGGTAAATTAAAGTGGTGAACGACGTAACATTACTATCTCATGATAACAGCAACAACCATACTACTACTACTACTACTACTAATGATAATAATAATAACAACAAAAATGGTAACAATACTAAAAAAAAGTAATAATAACAATATAATAATACTTATTTTTTGATATTTTCTTATATTTACACAATTATATATTCACAGAATATACTTCAGGAAATCTAAAAGGGTGATTGGTTAAATATAACATGCAGTTTCGATTCCCCGTTGTGAGGAGCAGAAGTGGAACCGCTCGGGGGGAGAGGAGGGTCCACCTAGCCAACGACGAATGACGCATGCGCACTGCGCACATCTGCGCACTGTTCAAAGGTGAGTTAGCAGGAGGAGGAGGAGGAAGCGTGCGGAGCAGAGCGCTCGGATAATGCTAAAGTTACGGACATCTGAGTGAACTTCTAGCAATAAATTTACTATAAATCTAAAAATATATATATACAACATAAACATGTCAAAAAGAGATACATTTGGACCAGGTAAATATCTTTTTTTCCTTCTGGAGACAACACCTACAGACTGTTCTAGTTCTTCCAAACTTTAGCCAATGTTAGCTCGCTAGCTAAATAACAGCTGTTACACAGTTCAGCCTAACTTCGGGTTAGTTTAAAGACAGACTCTCGAATACATGCATGTAGTTACTACGATGTCTTGCTGACTTGTATTGAGTATATCCGTATTTCTAGCGACTTTTGTTTCGCTCATCGAAGTACTTTTGTTCTCGCTGCTTAGCTAGCAACATTAACTTAACGTTTTTCAAGGCTGCAGAACGTCGTCCCACGCGTTTCTAGCTGCTTAGTCAGATGTTTGTATTGTTCAGTGTCTTGTGAGGAACACCTGGGTTCAGGCCTAAGTGTTTTAAAATGCGTGAAAATGCCTTTGAAAATGAAAATGTCATCGTTGAATCCCAATGTTTATCGTTTCAGATTACTTCCGTATGGGTGAACATGTGCGCATCATGCAGACGCGTGTAAGTATGCCACGTTTTATTTATATAGTTAAATATATGAATGTGGTTTTATTGTGGAGCGTTGAATTTGTAGTGTTTATCTTTGAGTTTAACCCTCCTAGTATCTTTCGATGTTTGACATTCGTTGTTTAACGAAATTAACGTGATATGTTTTCAATGTTTTTGTACGCATCGGTGTTCATTGGGGTCAGTTTGACCCCTGGCTATTTTAGCGGTATAAAACAAAAAAGTTATATAAAAAGTATAAAAAAAATTCTGTTTAGATAACATAAGACATGTCAACATTTTACGTTCATTTGTTTTGCTTGTTTTGGATAATGTTGAGGTCACTATAGCATCCAGTTTTATTATCTTCAGCAATCTTCCCTGCTTTAGAACCCTAACCTAACGTAACTATACCTGGAGTAGGTGAAAATATAATTCCTGCGAAAACTTTGATATTTCCGAGTCTAGAGGTCTAGCCTACTAGTTTGTGTTTTGTAATGTCATCTTCCTCAGGAGGCTGTGGTCAACTTGCTCCATAGAGGAGGCACAGGATACAATCTGTTAGATACCTTCAGTTTTGGTTGTGGAATGGGTAAGATGTCTCGTTGTCTCTGTTTTGTTTTCCATACACAGGTTTAAATATGTTTGGTCTCATTTATTTTGGCTCACAGAAAGAGGGATCCAAACTCCAGGGTCTTTAGGGTGTGCTTGACCAGTTGAGCTATGTTTATAACACATCTTATCACTACGTGTATACTCATGGGAAAATTCTGTAGGGACATCATACTCTAGGGAATTCCTGATTACTGTTAAAGGGAAGTCTTAGATTGACTGTTAAGATGTGTCAGTGTATCTTAAAGTGGATTTTAGTTCAAACTCCAGTGTTACAGAACATAAAATTTTTAAAAATACTCAAAATGATGCTAACGTGGTGCTGTGAGTGTGCTTGCCTGTGGAATCTGTTCCTGTATAGTGATTTGTGGATCTAATGATGAAGTTTTTGTGCTCATCAGTTCAGGTTCTGGGTTTACTGAGTATAAGGATTTTACCAGTTTATAAGCACAATGACATGACTGACTTGCTCTATAGTGCCTTGTTGCTGCCTGCAATAGGCCCATGAAATTTGGCCATATATATACTTCTCTTATGTTTTCTGGGAGCCAGTCCTTTTAAAGTCAACTTCAAAATGGATCTTTTTTTTACCTTCTCAGTTTATTTCCCTTGTTTAGCACATATTAAGCACAATTTCTTACATAATTTAGAATACATATCTTGCTTTCCTATAATCTTCCATCAAAAGTGAACTGTTTTGGTGAAGTAGCAGAAGGAAAAAAGTTTGTAAATAGGAACACATAATGAATCCACAATTGGTTTGAGGGCTTTCATGTTTGTCTTTCAGGTCTGGATCACTACCCTACTGAGTTTGTGGAGTATGTGGAATCTTCTGATGACGATGATGATTTTGGCAGCCAAAACAATAGATACTGTGGTTTCTCTCCGAACTTTCTAAATAGAGGGTTTCCAAACACACGGCCTGCAATAGGCTGCTTTAAACCAGTCAAACGCATCTCACCAGAGGTTAGTGCTATGTGCATGTAATTCAGTGTGCTCTGACGGAAGTATTTAATGAAACATTCCTGATTAATAATGAATAAAGTAGATATTAGCTAACTTGAGCATTTGGAAATCTCCTGAAAAAAGGTAACATTGGAAAGCAGGCTATAGACTGCATGCTTTTGGGAGATCACCTCTAAAGGGGATGAACTCAATGAACTCTTGAACTCACAAAAAAAAAGAAATTATGCAAAGTGTAGCTACTAATTAGGGCTGAAAGGAAGGGAAATGTTGGATGACAGTATAAACTATAGCTGAGGTAAAAACTAATTAAAGGGGAATTTTGTTAGATGACAGTATAAATTATAGCTGAAGTAAACTCCTGAACGTGGGTGAAGAAGCTGTGTAAGATGACCTTGAGAGGATTTTTAAAAAATGACATCATGTGCGTTTGGTTTTAAGGGTTGCCAGAAAGGGTGCAGGGTTTGGATATAATGGGGACTAAGATGATATGGAATTGTGTAAAAAGGGGTGGGGTGATTACTTCACCACCCCAAAAAAGGGATGCTTCGTGATGATATTTGCATTGTGGTTGTCTGGGAACCATCTTGCCACTTAAAGCTCAATAAAGAGAAGGCCTTTTCCTTCCTTCCACAACAACTCTTCAGCTGAAGTCTTATTCCTTTTTTGTTCCTTTTATCCCTTTTTACTTTTTGTTGATATCCCTTTATTCCTTTAATTCTTTTTGAAGAAATTAGACTACAGTTACTTATCAGGGCAATAGTATAGAACATATTAGAGATACTCATTTATGTCTATACCCTGGGCAGAAGAGACAGCTCTTAGTCGCGACACCTCCATAAGAGATTGATAAGTGTGTAACATGTTGTGTACTTTTTAGGAGGCAGCAAAAAATGCTAAGGAACTGTTAGATGAAGAGGAAAAACTTAAAAAAAAGGCAGAGAAGAAAAAACAGAAGAAAATGGTAATGTCAAACATGTACACCTTTTTCTGTTTTGATGAATCCAAAATTCTATCTTTTGAATGTTGTTTGAGTTGCATCTCCTACTGGTGTTCCACAGCGGCAGCGAGAGAGACGTCGACTAGAAAAAGTAGAAAAAGAAAATACTGATAAAGATAAAAACAAAAAGGTGAGCTAATGTATATGACCTACACGGATTTTCACACAGCACTTTTCCCGGTCAAATGCATTCTATATTTTAATGCTTGTTTTTTTTCCCAAGATGTTAACTCGGCAAGTGAATAGAAATTGCATATTTAAATTAGCAAAAAAAATGCCATATTTAAGTTTGTTTCATGTACAGGATGCATTAACATATTTTCACTTAGAAAATCAACAAAATGTAATTTGACCAGTGGTATTTAAACTTTTGCATATGATTATATAGTGCTGGTACCAAGCAGTGAATGTAAATTTTCAATGTTTATCTCTTTTGTTGTGTATTTTGTGGTGTGTAGGTTGGTCCTGGTACAGTGAAATCTAAACTTACAGAAAGTGGCTGTGGAAATAAGGATAAAACAAATAACAATGCACCTCTACATCCTGACCATTGCCCACAGATCTCCTCTGTAGCTACAGACAGCAGTGACAGTTCTGATGAGGAAGATGATGACGATAAAGGAAGTCTATCTGATGATCTCCAGGTTGTTTTTTTTGTGTCCTATGTACTAATAATGGTTACATTAATTGTGCAATAATTGTGCATGCATGTGAGTAACTTGCAGCTAGAATTTTGCCTTTTATGTCTTTCAGGAACTGGACATGAACAGCTGCTTTGTGACAAATGCAGCAGCCATTGCCAAACGCAAACTCGAACAGAAACCTAAATCTGATAGGAAAGACAAAAAAGCTGAGAACTCCAGGAAATATGAGGCAGAAAAGAAAACCGTAGCAGAGCCTCAGATTAGGGTATGGAAAAAATTTAATTTTTAAAATGTGTTGGAAAAGATACATTGAGTCCATTTTAATGGAAAATCTGCTTTATTAATTTGAACAGGTTGTTTTATTATTATTATTATTATTATTATTATTATTATTACTATAGATTTGTAAAAACCTGTAAGATATGTAAAGTGAGTTATTTTAACACATTGAATTGGATAATGAATACATATATGATATTACATGTATGAAAGAAAAAAACTCATGTTTGCATCAATTTTCACACTGTCCTTACCACAGAATCATGAGAATGAGGAGGGGTCAGGAGAGGCAGTAAATGACTTTGTTACAAAGAGCATGGAGCTAGCAGGTACGTTTAATCTTGGAAGAGACTTACTTTCGATATCCAGTTATTATAATGTAATCTTACATGTTTTTTTTCCTTTTACTTTCAGTGACGGGCAACGCATATGCACAAGCAGGGAATTTGGATATGGCAGTGAAGTTTTTTACTGACGCTATTAAACACAATCCTAAAGAGTTTAAGTAAGTATTAACAAAGTATAGTGCAGCAGAGCGTAAATGTGTAAAATGTCTTTGCTACAGTATTGGCACCCACTTTACACTTCTTATGTTACTTGTGTGTACTTCAGGTACAGTTTATGAGGAAACCTTCTGCATATTATCTGCAGTGGCATGCAGCATTTATCTTCAGAAGTTAAATACATAATGCTCTTGGTGTGTCTGCCTAACAGGTTGTTTGGGAATCGCTCCTTCTGTTATGAGAAAATGCAACAGTATGAGAAGGCCTTAATAGATGCTGATATTGCTCTGTCTTTAAACCCCACATGGATTAAAGGACTCTACAGAAAAGGCAAAGCACTGGTTGGGCTTAAGGTACAGTTGTGATAATTGGATTGAAAAGGCCTGTTACCTTCTCCTAATACTGATTTCTTTGTAAAAAAAAAAGTGTTTTCCTCGTTTTAAAATAGTTTTCTTGTGCGAGATCCCAAATATAAAAATTGTCAAAAGTCTGTTCCCTTCCATAGAGATACTATGATGCTAGTCTGACCTATAAGGAAGTTTTAAAGTTGGACAGCTCCTGTACTGATGCTGCTCAAGAGCTGATGAGGGTACGGATAATGCAGTTAATGGTAAGTAGGGCAGTGGGTATGTCTGTATCTGTCTGTTTTCAGTAAATAAGGGGTGTACATTATGAGCAGCTTGTCTTGGTGGGATTATACCATGAGGATTAGAACATAGTTAAACATATCACACATGTATTATAGTTGTAGATATGGAACCAAAAGGAAACAAAACGGACCTGCAAAAAGTAATCAAAGATGAAATATCATACAGAACCTTTCAGTGAGAAATGCAAAATTTTTATGCTTTACCCACAGGCACTGTAAATGGGAGTTGCTCATTGTCTTTGACCTGTTTTTAAAATATTATTCCCATGCACATGGTGTGGAGATCATAGCATTTGCATTGCTCAAACTCACTTGGTCATCACTCTCCAGAGTGTTTAAATTCTTTCTAGCACTGACTGAATTAAATCATGCATAAATCTTCAAAAAGAAAATCACGAAGATTTACAGGTTACAGGCACATGACCCACTAAAGATTCAAGACATCTTTTTCCTGGAGGACTGTAACATTTTAACATGTATATTTGTATGTTGCCAATGAGCTGCTGATAACAAAAATGTCTTTTCGCCATGTGTCTGCAGGATATGGGCTTCACTCGAGAACAGAGTTCAAATGCTCTGATTATACATGGAACAGTAGAAAAAGCCTTAGAAGCTCTCTCTGGGTTGCAGGGTAAGACCATTTCTACTTGCTCAGTGTTCTTTCTGAATCGGTCTTTGACAAGACCCTTTTTTTAATCTCTGCCATTTCTTCATTTCTTCTGTCCTGCCCATGGCTGTAGGTAGTGTTGCAACTGCCACTGTGCCCAGTGAAGTGTCTGTTGAAGAGGATTGGATACGTGCAGAGAGAAATCCTCATCCTCATAAAGTCCCTCTCAGAACAGTCCTTCAGAACCAGCCTAGAGCCAACACTGCAGTCAAGACTTCACCCCAGTAAGCAAACATGTGTGAATGACTGTCTATAACTACATTTCTTTACAAAGTGAGCATAATTTGGTCTGTTTAACTGGACTTGCAGCGCAGCTTGTAAAACACTGAATAAAATCATGGTAGTTGTAGGATGATAATTGTTGTTGTTGTTGTTGTTGTTGTTGTTGTTGTTATGATTGTTGTGGTGATTATTATTATTATTATTATTATTATTGTAGTATGTGTATTATTTATATGTGGTCTTTCAGCTTATTAAATCTGAGAAAAACTAAATATTGTGATGCATATTACATATCATGAAAAAATGATCATGGCATAATATTTTTGCCATATCGCCCACCCATAGATTATGTGTGTATGCTTTCCCCTTTTAGAGAGCTGTTTCCCATCTGGGTCGGGGATCTGGTACCTGCCTTATCAGAGTCAAAGATCTATGAACTCTTCAGGGTGTAAGTTTGCTTCCTCAGCCGTATTGCTTCAGTGCTTTCTCAGTCAGCTGGCCAACTTTATACTGTAGGGTTTTCAGTCCTCATATGGTAAAGTTTGTTGGGATATGAAGACAAGCTCTTATTATTATTATTATTATTACTATTATTATGACTTATTATTATTTATTTATTTATTTTTTTTAAGCAGCGACATCGTTTCAGCTTCTGTATTTGCTGAAACTATGTGGCAGGTGCATTTGTGCTTTATACCCCCTTTAAAGTAGAGTGCAGTTCTTTCAGTTTCCCTCAGAATTATTCAGAAAAGGTCATGACAAACTTCAATAAGATAAAATGAGACTTTTTATTAAATGACATTTAAATCAGTATCTGTGAGTTTGAAAGAAAGGTGGTTTGTGTATTTATTTTTGTTATATTTGAAAAAACAGCCATGGGCCAGTCCATAGTGTAAGAGTACTGCAGGACAAACGCTGTGCTTTTGTCAACTACATCAACAAAGAGGACAGTAAAAAAGCCATCCGAGATATGCATGTAAGTATCCATTGATTACGTGGCTATACGTCACTACCACAGACTTGCCAACCTTTACGCAGTTTGCATAGCAGGTATGCATATTGAAAAAGTACACTGATACAATTTGTCACTCTAAACTACGCAAAAAGCTGGTGACGCATGCGAGTTCAGTTGTGCATGTGCAGCCCTCAAATCTAACAGCAACTGGCAGTAACGTCTAGCCCTCTGAAAAACGAACAGTTGATGACCAAATCATAGTGCTGGGTTTATTCTCCGGGGATGACAGTTGCATAATGTCAACAGTTTAAAGAGACTGCAAATTTATAGCACAAAATGTTTTTTTTTATACCTCTCCTTTGCCCTCCTCACTCTGCCTGGCTGGTTCCACAAGTGAGGTTGGTGCTGTTTACCTTTGCAAAGCAATTAAAAAGCTGGGGTGGTTGTGGAAAGTTGAAATTGTGAATAGAGTTAATGCAGACCTGCCAACCTAGGGAAAATATTTAACATTGATAACGTTGGCCTCACGAAATGTGTAAGCCAGCTTGCTTGTTCGCTGGGAATTTAAGTTGGCAAAAATAATGTTAAATTATATTGTCCTTGTGTCACAGATCGTTAAACGTGACACTTCATAGTACTGTATTCATAATCATTATTGCAGCCAAACCATAACCGTAATGAGAGGAGCAGATCATGGCAGGAAGAAAAAAAAGGCAAGAGCTGCAGAAATAACATTACCTAGAAAGTTTATCGGGAGGCATGCCTGTGTGCATCTTGCAGTTTAAAAAAAAAAAAAGATGTCAGATGAGGACAACACTGATAAGTGAGGGGGGAGGGGTGGCACACCCTCCTGAATAACGAGTCTTGATAATATGGGGGTGCGTAGGAAAATGACCGAGTGCTAAGCAAATTTTTTTATTTATTTATTTATTTTTTTAAATAAATAAAGTATTACACTGTTGTGCTGTGCAAAATATTTTCCCAAGGGTGTTAGGTCTGCTGCCATATAATTTCATAAAACAAATGTCAGTCACATGGACAAGCAGAGCTCTCTACCTTTGCATTTGCAGCCTACAAACCATGGGTTTACAAAATGTCTTGAAAGCTCTATAGGTTTCCACATTGAAAAACAAATTAAAGCGCTGCTCTATTTAAGTAAACATAAAGTTATGCTCTGGAATGACTGAATGATTTAAGTTAATTCGTTAATTTCAAGAGAAAGAGTCTTGAGTACATTGTGACCTGCAGTTTAGCGTTGACTGTAGTTCAAGATCATGCCTATGCTTTAAGCATGTTCTGCAGATGCGTGAAGATGCTGTTGAAAGCAATGTTATTGCCATATTGTCTGGAAATTTCAGTACTGGTATCCCAGTGCAGAAACATAAAAAAAAATTTTCTAAAAAGTGTCATTGGTGATTTGTAGATTTGTAGATGTAGAACGAGCACAAGTTGACCATAATAATTTTAACTGTAACCCTAAATGGACACTACGTGCAGTTAACTTTTGTTTCACTATTGCTATTACTGATTGTATGTGTGTGTATATAATGCATGTATATGTGGATTGCAGGGTTATGCTATTGCAGGAACTTCTCTTGTGGTGCGTTATCCGGACAGAATCTACACACATCTTGGCGCATCCAAAACAGCAGCAACAGACACAGGGAAGGTTAGGTAAGCAGGCGCTCATTTGTTTGTTTTTTCCACCTGCACTTTGTACTAACTGGTTTATCAATTCATTCATTATTATTGTTGTCTAGTCTAGTCTATTATTGTTCAGCTATTCTGTAGAAATGATCTATAGTTCTTTAATTTCTACTAGATTTGTTCTTTTCCTTAGTAATATTTAATTTCATTGATTTTTAACTGGCTGCATATGGTTTCATATTGCTTTCTTGTACTTTGATGTGTACTTACATGGTTTGTTTGTTTGTTTTTATATAAATATATAATCTAACATCTTTTCTTTTGTGCAGTAAACTACCTGAGGAATGTTTTTTCTGGAGGACAACAGGCTGCATTAAGAACAATCGCTGTGCTTACAAACATGTACCAGAACACAAAGGCATTGATCGACCAAAAGCTAAATGATGACAGAATGTCTGATGTTAATCCACAGTACAAGATATTTTATCTCCCATTTAGTAAAGAAAGCTTATGATGGGATACATAACAAAAACACCACATGTACTAATAAATAAGAGGCAATCGATGGGATGCTCAGAAGATTTTCAGTATGTATTTCTGTTACTGTTTGCAACAATCGATTACTAGAGTTGAAAGCTACCGTGCTCACCTTGTCTGTGGTTAGATCTGAATTGCCCTCCTTAATGTTGGGTTCACTGTGTGTGCAGCATCACTCTAATTCACATAATATTCCCATACCAAGTTTATCTAATCCTCGCTTTTTTCAACAAGTGCTTAAAACCAAATCTAAATTCTGTTTTCCTTGCATGAATACTTGGATTAAAGGCAAGCTTACTGCAAATTTTTCATTTCTTGCACTTTATATTTTATTTTTCATTGAAGATTTAGTTTTAATTACGCTTTCATGTCTTAAACCAGAGGGTGTTTTGACTTTGTAAGTCTTAATTGGGCCAGGAAAAAGTCCATGCTTAGACTCATCCTCGTCTCCTCTAGTGTTTTATTTACTAATTGAGTAATGTTATGGGGGTATATTAATCTCACTGGGGCAGTTAAAACAGCCAAACCTTTTTTTATAAAGTGTAATAAACATGCCAAAACTGTATTATGTTGCCTTTTTTACAAATTGAAAGTCTATGTACCACATACAGTGCTATGATATTGTACTGTAAATGTTTTGTGATTACACAAATTAGCATGGCATTGCTGTTTTTTCATTATTTGTTTCCTGTGTACCCACAAAGACACAAGCAACAGGCACAAGCACATGCATTGTTTACTGGTTTTCTGTCTTAGATTCTGTGCATTGCGTTTAGATTTGTTATTCTGTGCCTTTCAGAGAGAATGACATAGAGGGAAATAAATGGTCATACATTATGCAATTGATTTCAATCCAGACACAAGTTATGCATTCATTTTTATAAATCTCCATCTATAAACTATAAACTGAGCTAAAAAAAATGGGTTGGGAGGTAGGGGTCAAAATAATATTGTATTCATTTGCCCTTGTAGTATTCCAAGATTATTTTTAAGTCTTCAGATAGAGATGCCAACCTCATTTCAATTGCCTAAGATAGTTCAAACATATAAAGCTGAAAATGTACATGTAATGTCTTATTTAACACAAATCAGGAAAAACAAATCAATGGTAAAGTAAATGCATTTCTTGTTCAGCTGAATTATCTAACATTGTATGTTAAAATTGTATTTCTGCAGCACTTCAACTCAATTTCAATCTGTAGCTTTTACTGTACTCTTCCAAAATTCAGTTTCTTTGAGCTATGCTGTTGTGGTGTTTTGTATTATTGATCATTTACAAGATTAACTGGTATTCCAGTTTTAGTTTTCTGACAGATGCCATTAGGCAGTCATTCATTGCAATGAATTTGCAATTAAACACTGACTATGACTACATAATTGAGTGTTAATTTGTCCAGTTGCTTTTGGTCCACTGGGAGACAGGGGTGCTATGTATTAAAGTGCCTTTATTGTTTGCTTTATATGGATCAGGCTTTATAAATTTAGATACAATCAATTAGATACATCAGCAAAATTAATGTCATTACCTGATCTCAAAATCACCAGAGACAAATGTTTGGGTCTGATCACAGCATATGTGTAAGATGTTTGATGTGAAGACAGTGAGTAAGTCTGGGGAAGCTTTGCTGTCGACCTGCTGAGCTGATCTTTTTTAAAGTTTATAGCAGTTTTGACCTGGACGACTATCAGTTCAGTTATCTGCTGTTCTCTCAGTGTTATGGCTAGATGGGCAGTCCTTCATTCTTCAGATGACCAAAAACAAACCTCAAAGATGTGGAGAAGTTATCTGGCAAAGAAGGAATGTGAAGGGCAGTTCAACTAAATAGCCTGCCCAGTTGACAGATCTCATGCCAATAACTGACTGAAGTTGAAGCAAAGGAAACTTTAATCGCTCATTTCTAAATAAATATGTAGCCTACAGGTTGTGAAGATAGGTAATCTTTCTGATATCATCCATTCTAGGCATTGTGTTAATGACCATATGTCATATAAAATAAGTCAGACTATAATCATTTTGTGTCAAACTATTGTGTTAAGGTTCTTGAATCTGTTCCCTAATTTGACTCAAGAACGTATTTATTTGGGTTTGGTTTCTGTGAGGTTTGTGATATGTGTGTGTTATGTTTCTCCTTGTTTTCAGAACACCACAGCGCCTGTAAGATCTTGAGGAAGACCTTGAGAAATTCATAGTGACAAAGACAAGAGTTGATAACAGCAGGCCTATCCATTTTAAAATGATTGAGATGCTAACTGAGATTTTTTTATTTATTGATGGAATTTAACCAAGCACATTGTGCCTATTCACAAGAATGAATCTTTATTCATAGAGCAGTCTCAGTCAGCTGTCCATCATAACTTTTAAATATGTTGATCTATTGAAATGCAGTGTTGCCAGTTTAATGACTGTCTCATAGAGCCCCTTAGTTCAGTAGTTATGGTACTGCCAGTGGAGTGTCTTCTCTCAGCCTAAAGACTTGTGTAACAGAAAAATGGCAAAATATTCCACATCCGAAACTGGAACAATTACTGTGAGTCCCCAAACAACTAGTAAGTGTTGTTAAAAGTATGTGAAGTAACACAGTGATAAACATGATCCTGTCCCAACTTTTTAAAAAATGTTTTGCCAGCCTCATTTGGAATGTACAGAGCCCTGCTGGTGACATCCCATATAAATAAAAATGAATGCATGGCCATGATTTAATAAGGCATGGGGACAAGATAATTAAGTCATGGCCACGACTTAGTAAGGCATGGGAAAGAGATCCTAATGCATAGCAACAACTTCGTAAGGCATGGGGACGAGATCCTAACGCATGGCCACAACTTAGTAAGGCATGGGGATGAGATCCTAATGCGTGGCCACCACTTAGTAATCCATAAGACAAAATATAGCCACATCTTTCCGTTTGTGCAAAACTGTAATTCTTTATTCTCTAAGAGAAACTACTTGTGCACATTTTAATGAATGAATTACTGTTTTTTTTTTTAATCTAACAACTTAACATGCTGGAAAAAAAAGGTTTTGGTGCATTATTTATTTTATTTTTTATCTTTTCCCAATATGTTAAACTCATGACCTGCGATGGACTGGCGACTTGTCCAGGGTGTATCCTGCCTTTCACCCAATGACTGCTGGGATAGATTCCAGCTCCCCCATAACCCAGAAGTATGAGTGGCTTAGAAAATGTGTGTGTGTGTGTGTGTGTGTTGAACTCAGCAACGAAATAGAAATAAATCTGCAGCAAATGCCATGTTTAAGTCTGTTCTCTGTAGAGGATATGTTAACTTATTTTCACTCAGAAAATCAGCAAAACATAATCTGACCAGGGGTGATCAAAAATTTTTGGTGTTTGATCCATATTATGCCTTTCTTGAACTGATCTGGCTTGAAATTTTCAGAGATATATGTAATTTATTTAAATAAATTAACACATTTATTAAAATGTTTATTTGACATTCATAATTCTCATTGGAAGTGTAGCCTATTCCAAGAAAAAAATAAGAAAAAGGAACAAACAATTTTTAAAAAATGCCATTGAAGCCTTTGCTTGATGAAGAAAATATGCCCCTGCCCCTTTTAATTCTAGAGTCAAATATGAATGATTAATAATTAACCAGCTCTATCTAGAATAGCCTACCTGACAAATAGATTGTACATAACAAGTGCTAGCTGTCAGCTTCTGTATGCTTACTCCTCAAAATTAGTATTGTCATTAGTGCCTCCTGGTACAGTCATCATTGCACTGCCACATTCAGTTTCATCTCAGGTTATAGATCGTATTCCAGATTGTTGTACTTTTCTATTTGTATATATGCCTGTAGATAGGATTTTTTATATTTATTCTTCCTGTTATATTGTTCACACCCTTATTACTATTACTGTCCTGTGTTGTGTGACTGCTACTGGTTGCTAAATTTCCTTCGGGATCAATAAATTATCTATCTATCTATCTATCTATCTATCTATCTATCTATAAACAACAGATATATTTATTTTGACAGGACTGGCTTAGCTTGGATGAACATGATGTTTCAGAGTAAGTGCAAGAAAATATGCCTGGGCAGCATCTGAAAAAAAAAATAGATATTCACAAATTTACTTCCTTTCTGTGGGCCAGTGTCCTGCATTTTCTTGTATTTTGTTTTCCCCTCTCATAACATATGTGTGGTTTCATGTTCTAAAAGCAGTCATATTTAGGTTATACATGACCATTTCCAATCTCTTTTCGACTATTAAGCGATATATCTTTGGACAGCAACAATATGTAAATCACCTCTGTTCTGATTGGCTATCCTGTATTGTGTGTCATTCACCATCAACTTCAGTGTGAATCGGTGGAGCGAAACAGCTATAGGCTGATTAGGTGACCTCACAAAAACACTGATTTCAAAATGGGCTGTTTCTGTAGTTAATTTCCATATATGGAAGCTGGGGAGTAATGGTATGTTTTGAAATTTTACAATGGTTATATATTTCATCAAACTGTATATTTCAGCAAAAGCGACTGCAATTTGATTTCCCATGATATGGACCCTTTAATGCCATGCAATAATGCCAGGAGTTGTAAATTAACTGATGTTTAATAATTTGACTCCCATGCACTGCTTAACATATTTCAGTTTCCATGTTCTTTGTCTTCATTTTTTTGTCATGGAAAAAAAAGAAGGCTGCCATTCTCATCTGCTCCTCTGAGAAAGAGAGAAACACAAGATCAACCTTCAGCTTTACTGCACAGTCATGCACCTTATTGGCTGAGACCAAGAAGCAGCTGTGTGTGCGAACGTGAGCCTGTTTGTGTGTCCTCTATAAAGCATGCTGCTCTGCAGTATTTCTGAACTGGTGCAGTGCCGGTTCATCTCCACTGATGGTGTGCAGAACAAGGGGGACTTAGAAGAAAAACTTCTCAATCAAAAAAACCTTCATATTAACATCATTTAAAAACTAACCAAAAAAGCAACTAAAAAAAAATCCTGCATCATGAGCTTTGATCCTTTCATTTCCTCCTCCTCCGTCCCATTTCGGCGCTGGGATGACCACTCCAGTGCCTACCGCCTCTCCCAGAGCCCCCTCTCCTCCTCCTTCTCATCTCGGCGGCTGCTGAAGTCGGGGCCAGCGGGGAGCTGGGAGAAGAATGACATGACTGTGATGTGCTCCGAGCTGCTGGGGCTGAGAGCTCAGGAGAGGGAGCAGTTAGTAGGGCTGAACAACCGCTTTGCCTCCTACATCGAGAAGGTACGGCACCTGGAGCAGCAGAACCGTGTGTTGCTGCTGCAGCTGGAGGCCCTTCGGCGTGGGCAGAGTCAGCCGTCCCGCCTGCAGCAGCTCTACCAGCAGGAGGTGCGAGGTCTCCAGGAGCAGCTGCGCCAGGAGGCCCAGGACAAGGCACGCATGGAGGTGCAAAGGGACGAGCTGCGGGAGGCGCAGGCGCGGCTGCAGGAGCGCTGGGAGCAGGAGGCCAGGCGGCGTGAGGAGGCTGAGGAGGAGCTGCAGCATGCAAGAGAGGAGGCGGGCAGAGTGGCTCTGTGGAGCTATGATGCTGGGGTCAACGTGGTGTCTCTGGAGCGGGAGCTGGCCTTCCTGAAGCAGGTGTTTGCAGAGGAGCAGGAGGGGCTGCGGGGGCAGCTGCAGGTGACCAGCCTCAGCTTGGGCGAGAAGCTGGATGTAAGCAGGCCAGACCTCTCGGCTGCCCTGAGGGAGATCCGTGTGCAGTACGAGAGCCTAGCTAGGCGCAACAGGCAGGCGGCCGAGGTGTGGTACCAGGGTAAGGTGGCTAGTGTGGCACAGGTAGCCAACAAGCAGGAGGAGGCTGTGCGCTCGGTGCGGGAGGAGACTGCAGAGTACCGGCGGCTGCTTCTGTCCTGCTCCACCGAGGTGGAGACACTGAGAAATGTCATCAACTCGCTGAATGAGCAGCTGAGAGAGCTGGAGGAGACACAGGGCAAGGAGGTGTCCAAGTATCAGGTATTATTCAAAGCATGAGAAAATGGAAAATGGAATTCTGTAGTCAGCTGATTCCCAAGCCTGGTTCTGAAGTACCTGTCCTGCACCTTTTACCATTTTGCTTGCCCTAACACACCCACCATCCTAGGAAGGGCTTGTGAACTAGCTGACTAGTTGGATCAGATGTATCCGAGCACGAAAAACTAAAATATGCAGAAACCACTGTTGCAGTCAAACAAAATCTTTTTGAAAAAAATCTACAGTGGTATGCAAGTTTGAAAACCCCTGGTCGAATTACAGGTTTTATTGATTTTCTAAGAATAAATAAATTAACACATCCTCTGCTGAGAAAAAAAAAAACTTGAATATGTGCAAACTTTATACAAATTCTAGAGCACTATTTCTATATTTTTGCTGAGTTTAACATACTGGAAAAAATAAAACGTGCCATAGCTTTTGCACAGGCCACTTTTTGTTTTATTTTTTACCCATTATGTTAAAGTCAGCATGTTAACTGTAATTGTGCATGAAAATGTGTAGAGTTCTGTACTCTTTAGATGATGTGTTAACTTACTTTCACTTCACAAAACATGTCATTTGACCAGGGGCACCCTTTTTTTCCCACAAGACTGTATAATAATAAAACCGGAATTTCTACAGGATTTGTATTAGAATTATAGTAAATTCACAAGTGTTATGAATTAGTATAGGCCAGTACAGCAGGAAAACTATACATAAGTGAAAATATTGTAGTAGTATAACACAGCACTATCAAATGATTATAGTTTCTTTAAGGGATTATAGTTTTCTGTAAATTATTAAGGTTATTATGTCAACCCCAGTGTCATGGTGACTCAGGCAACAGTGCTGTAGTTCAGCAGGACATAAGGAAAAGGGAATAGGAGCTCAGGAGGGTTTCATGACAGAGGAAGAAGTAATTGGTATTCTATGCACTTGCAGAAGAATATTGTAGACAAAAGGACACTGCAGCACAGGGAATAGTGCAGTGTCTACAGACTGCTGCACTTCTCAATGTTAACAAAACTCCATGAAAATTGGTGACCACATCTAATCTGTGTGGCAATGTTTAATGCCTTATTCATGCCTTGAGATGCTGCACCATGAATGTAATACTGTACTATAAAAAAGAAGTGGTGCTTATTTGTTGTGGCCTACATTTGAAGAGTAACATGACCTTGTATTCTTTTTGGTAATATGACCCACTGTCCACTATTGTAAACATAGACAGCAGTGGAATAGTATTGCCCTGTGTTTTTACTGCGCTGAGACTGAGTGTCAGATATTAATTCAGGTACATTCAGCTAAGGATTCTGTGGTCTGCTGACTCATTCTAACAAAGCTGATGAATATTTTTACTCGCAGCGTCCACAGATTCTAAATATAGTAACAACAGGACATCATAGCTTGTGCTATTCTGGTCTGATGTATTAATTTGACATGTAGGCTGCTAAACATTTAGCACAGCAGCTCTGTTGTTTTAGTCAAGAAGCCTTTTTTTCAGAAGCTGACTTGAACAAGTATCATGTGCAGCATCAGAATTACAAAAGCATATTACAGACAAAAGGACACTGCAGCACAGGGAACAGTGCAGTGTCTACAGACTGCTGCACTTCTCAGTGTTAACAGGACTCCATGAAAATAGGTGACCACATCTAATCTGCGTACCAATGTTTAGTTGGGCATTTCATGACACATTTTAGTCCCTGAGTGCTGAATATAAATATAAATATTTTATCCAGACAGATCTAACAGGTCTATCAGATATTTATAAGCTTTGTTAAATGGTGCTGCTCATCTGTCAGTTATAACTGTATTTTCATTAAATCTATTTTTTATAGGCGAGGATAAGTGATTTAGAGAGGGATATCGCTGAGGCCAAAGAGGAGATGTCACGGTACTTGAAGGAATACCAAGACCTGCTGAACGTAAAGATGGCTCTGGACATCGAGATTGCGGCCTACAAGTAAAACTTAATAATAAATCATTACATTAACCACAATAGATTTTTAGTCTATAGTAGATTTCTGTCTTGCTTTCATCACTGTCTATGTGAAATAATATATCTGTGTAGACAAGGACAAGACTACATATTTGTTCTTTTAGTCTTGCAGTTGTGTTCCCTGTTTGGCTTTATTATGACCGCATTCATGTTTGTTTCAACAGGAAACTACTGGAGGGGGAAGAGATCCGGCTGACGTATTACTCCCTGCCAGCATTGGCTTGAGCCCTTACCTACAAATCTTGATAACCTCCATCAACACTGCACCATTGCCCTAGCTCCTTTACTTGTACCATCAACCCTGTTCCTTAAAGCCATCCTCCTCAACCCTCTAATAACACCAAATTGCCACACATGATCCCTCATAAGTGGCCCAAAACCCAAACCTCCACACCCTACTCATAAATTGTTTCTCTGACCAAACCTCTAACCACATAGAACCCAAACTCCTTATCCTTAATCCCCTAAGCTATTTACCTAACCCTGAGCCCCAGTACCTGAACCTTAAGACATCTGACCATTCCCTCAAAGCTCGTACTCTACCTACATCACTACTTTAAAGACAAACGAGCCCTTGTGTTACGCAAGAGGTACACCATGACCGTCCCCCTTCTTCTTCACACTTTAACTGAAACAAGATGGCCGCCATGGAGAGAATGCTGACCGCAGCACTTGCCCAGCCAGAAGTCAATATCCTGTTGGCAAATTCTAAGTGCCAGTCGCGACTGGCCATCAAGCACCTTCTGCACAAACTCTTAACCAATTGTTTGTGAAGGTGGATGTGTACTGAGGCCGTGCTGACTTTCAGCCTTGAATGCGCCAACAGGATATTTTTCTGCACACTTATAACTATAGTGAGTGTTAGAACTTAGAAGCCTGTTAAACGTCTAATTTCCATTCAGAGCTTTGGCACTTCATTTGGTTGTCATTTATGTTGTGGTTGATGTTTACATTCTAATATTGTGAACTTTGGTTGATTTAGTACTTAAAGTGTATTTAATTAGTGTATGTGAAATGAAACTTATGTTCTAAAGAAATTTAAGTCGTTTTAGTGTATGGAACGGGCAGAGAACTGCAGGCTGATGTAGAAGACAAAAACACTACAGTAGTAAATATCTGTGCGCTCTCATCTGCTTCTGTTTTGTATGCCCATCTGAACAATGTGAAACTGAACCTGTGACTATAGGATAAAAAAATTGCAGAGAGGCAACTAGCATCAGTCTCAGATCTTCCTGGTGCTAAATTTTATTACTCTGCACCTAAAAGTAATATATACTGAATAAATCTATTGAAAAGCTCTCCCTGTGTGTGTGATTAATCTGCATTCCTGTGCCATATATGCTATAAAAGTGCTTTACTAAGCAAGTGTCCCGTAATTAAAGGTGCAAAACATGTCTAATAACCCATATTTCCACACACAGCATGACTGCAAAATATTCCAAACTTCCCTCCAATTTTAACATTTTGATGCATCCAAATTATGATTCTCTGCTGTATTACAACATAGAATATTTCAATTAAATGAATGAGTAGATGGCAGATCACAATTTTTAGGTGAAGCCTGTCTTAAAGGGACACTAACAAACAAACAAATAAATAAACAAATAAACTATTGCTGCATCTTTGTAAACACGCCCACACAACCCCTGTGTATTTTGAAAGTGGGGGAACTGAATTTTAAAAATGCAACTATCACAAGATTGTCGTCGCTGCAGAACCAAAAGTCCAGGGGGTACGGCTGGATCTGATCCAACTCCTCCTGCGTCGTGTTTTAATTGGTCTGAACTAAATCACTCCACCCCGCCCCGCTATACTTGCCCGTCAGATTCAAGTAAAACGTCATCAAGTGCGAGTGTGAAAGTCAGTATATAACCCACATTTTCTCTCTCTTATGAAATTCCAGGATGTAGTTGATAAAACACAGTTATGTGGGTTATTTTGACCTGTCACAAGTGCATTTTAGTGTTTAAAAACGTTCAGCGTTTTCAACTAGAACTCGTCTATCATAAGTACACTTGAGATGTAGGCCTACAGAACGGACCTTGTACCGGAATGTGAAAAAAGCTTTTCGAGTTTTGACAAATGAGTGTGAACGTCGTGAATCATGAGCGATTATAAAGGCTGTGTTGTGGCATTCAGGACGGAGCAACATCGGAATTCATGCGACTTTTACTTCAGTCTGAACTGAAAGCTCCGGGAGCGACTGGCGTTCGCTGGCCGTCATGATTGTTTACCCTTGGATGAGCCGCCACGTGAAGCATTGTTCTTTTGCGCATGCGGGTCGGTTTAGGAGCTGATCTGTTCAGACTGATGTCGCATACAGGTCACATTTAAAAGATAATGTGAACAGCCAGACAAAAAATCGGTTTTGGTGAGAAAATCAGATTTGGGACACTTTTACCTGCTGTGTAAACGTAGCCTTAGGCCAGAATGCCCCCGTAATGACGCCTAGCATGAAACTGCATTAGGCCGCAGTTCTACTTTTGATCAATAGGTGGTAGTAAACATCTCGTCCTTGCACTGACACGCAAACCGAGAGGGAGTAGAAGGAGAAAAACTTCCGCTATGACAGGTTTGGAGTATGGCGGCCTCATGTAAAGGGCTCAATGTTAAATAGCCACGCTGTTCGTCCTCTGTGGATTCCGACTGGACTGTAAAGCGCCTGCATTTACACTGCAGGGTGTTCTATAGTCTGACTGTACATAAGAGCTTAGCATGTTTGGAGCGGTGGCTCGGAGCCGGGCTCCTGTAGTCCGCCTTGTGTCTCCTCGGGCTGCTGTCCTGGTGGAGACCGTACGGGGGAGAAAGTCTCGAACCGACCCGAAAGCAAAATCCAAAGCTGGACGGATCAAGACTCCTCCTCCAGTGGACCCGGTGGAGATGGTGGTGCTGAAGGAGCGGTTCACTGAGTACAACCTCATCATGAGAGCGCTTAGGTAAGCAAAGCTGCGTCTCACTCGCTGTGTGCGAATGAATGACAGAGTAATCAGTCATGTTGCACCAGTGTGCTGCCTCAGCGGTCAGTTTCTCTTGAACTGTTTGGAGATCTGTATGTAGTTTTGTGCCTCTGTATTCCAGTACATTGAATTTAAGCATTTCTTGCATAGTACCCATTCGTAGGTTGTTCTTTTAACCTTTCAACAAACGTGATATTTAGGAACATAAACCTTTTCTTTTTTCAAGTAGTAAAATATTTTTTTAAATATGGATTTAAAAAAAAAAAAAAAGATTTATGCTTGAAATAATAGTTGCATCCAAAATGCTATAGACTAGAGGTGAGCGATATGGCATTTTGTAATATCATGATATTTCAGAAAGTTTGATACACAGTATGTCACGATATGACATCTGATGAGTTAGAACAGCTGAAGTAGTGGCACATTTTAAAAATACTATCAGAAACTGAGGGTTCAGTTATCTGTATTTAACATTTCACACACTGTGCTGCACTCAGTCTAATAAAACAGGAGCAGTTATGCTCTTATTTTAATCAAATATGCAGTTGGAAATTGATTAAGTACTGATGATTTTCACAGTGTGCTTACAAAAGCATGTTGTGATGTAATGTAATTTATCAAAATAACGATAAATATTGTCATATTGCCCAGGTGTACTTTAGACTATTTTGCATGGCAATCTGCGGTTTTGAACACATTCAGTGACTGTGCGGTCACTTCTGCATTGGATGTACCATAAGGTTGTAACAGTACTTTTTATACATAGTACCCCATTACAGAGGTCTCAGACTGCACTGTATGTGTTGTGTATCCAGGATGGAGTTTAAAGAGGAGATGTTGCGGAAGCGGTATGAGGAAGAGACTGGTTCGTTGGCAGAGGAGAGAGCCAAGCAGGAGGCTGAAGAACACAGATCTTTAATGGCCTGGAATGAGGCGGAAAACCTCAGACTGCGCAAAATCCGGTGGGATAAACAAACAGATTAAAATTTAAATCAGCAAAGAATGAAACAGTTGCAAAAACTGCTGACATTGGCACATCACTATGAGTTTTTCTGTAACTGTACCCCCTATATGTATTTTTGTTCTGTTTATGTTTATTAAGTCTTTTTGTGACATTGGTTGATACCTCTTGCTGAAGTAAGTAACTTTAATAAGAAAAAAAGACTGATTAACACAAAGAAATGTACTACTAAAATGGCACTGTCACTTTTTTTTGGAGTGCCCCAATAATGCCCCATTTTTAAGATTCTTGTCCCATAAATCACAGGTAAGGGGCAAAAAAAAAGTGTCCCCAAAGAAATATTATTACATTTTTACATTTTTGGCTGATGTCAATTAGCCTAAAATTTTCTGGTTAAGTTAAAATGTTATTGTCTATTTTGTAAAGTGTTCTCATTTATACAATAAAAACTCTCAATTTCAGTCAAATTTTAGTCAGGCAGAAATTGTTCCTGTGTGTCTTACCCTGTGTTTGTTTCCTTGTTTGTGTATTAGTGAGCTTCGTGTGCAGAAAGAGACTGAAGCTGCTGAACAGAAGAGGAGAGAGATAACAATGTTACGCCAGCAGGAACTGGAGGACTATATCAAAGAAAAAGAGAGAGAGATCCTGCAGCTACAGGTGAGATCAGTTTACAAGTAATAGATGACACATAATGCCAGAAATAATTTTTTTAATACTCTGATATTGTATAAGTATAAAATCTAAATATTTCTAGAGTCTGATGAAGCATAGTATTGTATATATACTAGTATAATACACCAGTATATTGCACTGTAGTCACAGGAACCTGTATGTGTGGTGCACAGCAGTTACATATTACATTATTATATTACATTCATCCTTACCATAACAGGACAGGTAGGCCTAATACATGGAATTCTGTATTCTGTCTATGGAAAAATAATACCCCATTATCAACTTTACCCAGTAAATTGTATTTCTGCTGTACAGCGTTGCCTCACCTAATATTACAGTGCACTAAAGTATGTGTAGCCTTCAAATTAATTAATGCATAATATGGTATCCTCTGCACCTCAAAGTTTATTAAATAAGATAATAATTGGAAGAAAAGTTTTTATTTAATGCCAGTTGTTATCAGTGCTGATGAGAAACACATGCTGATTCTTTTCAGTCAGTGCAAATTCTGAAAAAACAAATGTCAATACAAGAGCATTTTTTTAATCTTGTAGACTATTTTTTTGGTAGCTGTATTGCCTTTGGGTACCTATTTAGATTGTTTTGCTTTAGTCTTATTTCTCACTCATCTACACACATACCTTCTATCACCATCATCACATTTCCACCATCATATATTTTCCAGGAAGAGGCAAAGAACTTTATCACACTGGAAAATTTGGATCAGCGGATTGAGGAGGCGCTGGACAACCCGAAAAACTACAACTTTGCCATAGATAAAGAGGGACGGAAGGTGAAACGGACTGTACTTCAATAGAGGATCCAGACCAAAACGTTAGGATTTAAAAGACTGAAAATCATGCATGTCTAGTTACAGCTGTTGAAAATGACACTTGAGTGACTTCTCAGTGACATCCAGTGTAGATGTGATACGTTTCGTTTTCAGGATGAAATGTTAACTTGTTTTTGTTTCAGGACATTGTCCATGCTCTTCTTATTAATTACACAATTAAAACTATGTCAATAACATTTATATTATTTGTCCATTTTCAAATGTGTTTTTATGATAAGTGTTGTACAACCCTAAGTGGGAAGACTTTGCTTTTGGGGGCACTGCAGTGGGATGAGCAGAATTGTGCTCTTTTACAGAACTGTACAGTACTGTTTTCTTTATAAGTCGCTTTATAAATGACGTGAACAGGTTGTCACCTGAGGTGATTTCAAACGAACCATTTGTGTGAAGTGACTGCATTTTAAAAGGATACAACTAAGAGAAAAGATAAAAAAGCTAAAGATTAGATAAACAAGTTTTTTTTCTTTCAAACTAGAATGCATTTTCCCTACAACGCTGTAAAGGACGACTGAGGAGGGTATACAATTTTAATTTATTATTTTTTACATTTTTATTAAAGGTTTACTCTTCTGAGTTTTTGGTCGTCTGAATAACCTGAAACTTTTTTTTACTCCACTGCGCTGTTGCAGATTCAGTTTAGAGGCAGTTGGCTAGCAATAGATATGAGCTTTGTTGGAATTAAATTAGAAATTCTTTGGAGCTGTGTCCTAATGTTCATTATACTGCACCAAGTAGTATGTGTAAAACAGTAACGGCACCACTGGTGTTTTTGGACGTGTTGTTTAGTATGGTATACACGGTTTGGGACGAAGCCTAGGTCTATGTCTCAATCCGCATACTGCCGTACTAAATAACATGTCCAAAACATTAATGGCAATATTGGTGGTCTACAAGTTTGACGTGCTAACTTAGTGCGGTTTGAGACGCAGCCCATGACTTCACACGTCTGCGCATGCGCGGTTTTCAAACTGTCGTGTACTTCCGTCGAACGGACAGAAGAGTTGTGATATGAGCTGCTTTTACATGTTGCGACATGTCTGTTACTGTAACGTTATGACAAAGGTGGACCAGATGTTGGTGTCCTTATCCAGGAGATAACTTACTGTTCAGACTATGTTAAATACGGCGCTTGTGAAGGGATTATTGAGTTTATGCTGAGAGTTCTCTAAGATCTGATGCAATATGGCACCAACTCATGTGAAAGGAGCGTTCCTGCGGACAGTCACAGGACTGCTCCGGGGGAAAGAGCCTCAACCCCAGCGCCTGTGTGCTCTGAGACTCACCAGACATTTATCCAGCGCCTCTTCGGAGAACCAGACAAAAGGATATCAGGTCCTCAGAGCTGCGGTGTCAGACGGACGTGGGGAGGAGGACAGCAGTAGTGGCAGTGGAGCTCAGAGGTGCCTCTTCGGAGCTTTTAGCTGTAGGACTGGGGCTGAGCGGAGCAGCTTTACACTGCATCAGTAAAGAGCAGGACAAAGACAGTTTTAAGAGCACATGCTCGCTCAGAAACTCTCTGCCCCACTCTCTGCTCCCTGTAGCCCAGTGTGCTGCCCCATACAGACCTGACAGTCCGCGATACAAGTACAACTTCATTGCAGATGTGGTGGAGAAGTCAGCACCTGCTGTAGTGTACATCGAGATCGTAGGACGGTAAGATCAGTGTTTGACTATTGCCACAATGAGTGTGACTTTACACTAGAATTTGTGACGTTTGAATTCGTATTGTAGGTGTAAGCTGTAGACCAGACTGTCCACTGTGGGTAGGTAATCGCCTTCTCTGTTCTAAGCTCTCGATACATGTTCACTTATTCATTCTGAATACTATAATAGCAATAATAATAATATCAACAACAACTAATAAAATTATACAATTATTATTGTTGTTTATATTATTATTATTATTGTATGTTTTTTATGTAAAATTGACTGCTGTAGATTCTTCTGCCATGAAAGTAAAGAAGGATCTGAAAGGTTGGTGTTAAAACAACATCCTTTTCCATCAACGTTGAAACATCAGTAGAAAGCTGCCCCCAGAATGTAATTCTGAAAGCATCATTTTTGTGGATTTAATTACGGTTACTTATAATCCATCTTAAAGAACCATTTCATTCTTATGATAAACACTTATGGCACACCTGTCACGTTGAACCAAGCCATCAGTGTCTCCTGGGCACTGTTGACTAAATGGTTAGGTAAAAGAGTGCTATGTTATTTGAATTGTTAGATGAAATGGGATTATTATTCTCTTTATGATCATTAGTCCAAAAAATACCATGACTGAATGACTAGTTTGCTATAATGTTCATGCTGTTCCATTCTGTTAATCATTCCTCAACAGGCACCTGTTCTCTGGCCGAGATATCCCTGTCTCTAATGGTTCTGGCTTCATCATCAGTAGCGATGGCCTAATAGTGACCAATGCTCATGTAGTAGCCAACAAGCGTGACGTTCGTGTCAAACTCACCAATGGAGAGACTTACAATGCCACCGTGCAGGATGTGGACCAGGCTGCAGACATTGCAACCATTAAAATCCATCCCAAGGTAACAGTGGTGATGTTGGTACTTTATACATGGGAAAAGAAAACAGGTGTGATTTACAGGTTATAGTTTTATATCTTGACTACACTTTCATTTTGCTTCTGTAGCTCATGTTTGGTTTATGTGTGTTTATTTCAAGCATCCTCTGCCAACATTGCGTCTTGGCAAGTCATCGGAGGTGCGTCAAGGGGAGTTTGTGGTTGCCATGGGGAGCCCCTTTGCGTTACGGAACACCATCACTTCTGGTATAGTCAGCTCAACTCAGAGAGGAAGCAAAGAACTGGGCCTGTCCAACCCCAACATGGACTACATACAGACTGATGCTACCATAGATGTGAGTAAGCTCTTCATCGTCTACCCTAGTACAGCTAGAGTAACAGCTAACGGATTCAGAAGTACTACAGTGTTTAAGCAGTTTGCGATTACATGAGGGTTTGTTCTGGATGTGAAACTACATAGTGGAATATATCTTTTTTTCAAATTTTAACTAATTGTTTGTGTTTTTTCAGTTTGGGAACTCAGGTGGTCCTCTTATTAATTTGGTGAGTTCCTCTAACGCGAGTGCCATGTATTTGTGTGTGTGTATGTATGAATGTATGTAAGAATATATGTGAAATACTGGCTTTTTCCACTGTAGTACGAAATGTGCACAAGGAGTACACTAAAAAGTTTTCTGACCTTTGTTACCTTTAGGATGGTGAGGTAATTGGCATTAACACAATGAAGGTGACTGCTGGGATCTCCTTTGCCATTCCTTCTGACAGAGTGCGCCTGTTCCTCGACCGTGCTGTAGATAGAAAGAGTAAGGATTGATCCTTTTCTGTCATGGCTTTATCCATTATTGATGTTGTCTTTGTATCTCTCATTACTTTTGTATGTGTTCTGCTTTTAGAGTCCTGGTTTGGTGAATCTGAGACCAAACGGCGCTACATAGGAGTGATGATGTTAACTCTCACACCCAGGTACCAAAGTATAATCACCAACTGTCATATAAAAGATTGGGGATCCAGGCAGAGCTGCAGTCATTTCTGATGCACCTCTTTTTACTCCTTCAGTATAATCGCAGAGCTGAAGATGCGCGACCCCTCATTCCCGGACGTGACCCATGGAATCCTCATCCATCGCATCATCGCCGGCTCTCCAGCTAGTAGGTAAGCAGGAGTAAAATGGTCCTACTGCTGGCAGGCTGCTTTCATTGTTTGACACTTAGTCTGTAGGTAAACACTTGAACTTGTATACTGTTCGGTGATCTAGTTGAGGAAAGAACAGCAGATTTTTCATTAGTTACACACAGAAAAAAAAACACAGAAAAAAAACACTTTTTTGCAGAAAAAAACACTTTAGATGCCCATAAGACACTTTATTTTAAAATTTTGTTCTGGGCTGCAAGTAACATATTTCTGTACATGATTATTAACCATTATGATTCCGATAAAGCGAGAAAAAACAAAGTACAGACATTAGTTTGTCACATTAACATTAAATATAATGCACAATATTTTAATTACAAAATGGAAAGCACAAGCATTATTTTTCCTTTTGCACAGTACTTTTCAAAGATAAAACATCTGATATCTCTGGTAAATCATAGTTGCCACAAAACAATCAATGGCATAAGAACAGATGATCTACATGGCTCTTGAAAACACTTTCACTGAAAGGTGCAAAAACAATAAGGAACAACTTTTTAATAATAAGACAAAGCTAAATTAATTAGTTTCTGTGTGTTTGAAAACACCATAAGCAACCTGATATTACCAACAACATAGAAACAGCTGTGTCAGAAACAGAGTCCTGAAGCATGCTCGACACAGCACAGCAGTACTGACCCACATGCATGAGGCCAGTGCTTTCAAAAAGATACAAAACAGAAAACAGTTATTATCAGTTAAAATATCCACTCTGAATGATGTTTTCTTAAAGCTCAGTGTCCAGTGACCTAAAACACTGTTTTTTTTTGAGGACCGAAGACCAAAAAAATGTAATACGTAACCCTGGATTATGAAATCATAGAAAAAAATGGAAATGGAAATGAAAGCATAGGTTAATGATGCAGTTACAATTTCAAAATACATCTCATCTCTTCAGTTAACATCTTTCTTTCACTGAAATAAAACAGGGTTAGCTTTGAAAAGCAAACAGTGATGCACTATTTTTGTTTTTGAATTACGGGTTTAGTATCTTAGTTACCCACTATGCTGAGCTTCTGCTGTGGATGCAGTGATTTCTGATCATGTATAAATGCGATGCAGTTGTGCCAGGTAAGCTTGGTTTTGCACAATTTGATGATATTTTAGATCAGTGTTTCTTAATCCTGCTCTCAAGAAGCCTGGAAAATATCCCTGCAGATGTTTGAAAAACTGAAAAAATGAAAGCTGTTGTAAAGGCAAAAGGTGATATTGAGTTTTTGAGGCTTCTGTGTAATTGTGTATTCAATGTATGTTTTCTGCTTTTTACTTGACACTGTAACTAACTTTTACTTAATGGCTGTTTTGACTGGAAATTAAATAAATGAGTGGTCTCTGGTTTTCCATAGTACTTTATCTCACATGACTTAGTCGAAACTTCTAGGATCAAGGTATCTTAAGGGGCTGATTGAAACAATGTGCATTGAGTGCTGTCTCCATTTATATGCGCACTGGATTTCTCAATAGCATGCCACAAAGACAGCTATATAAAAGAACCACTGTGAGTATTCAGTAGATAGTACATGCTTTGGCACACAGCTGTAGATGGAAAGCGACTCCTGAATTTCTTGTGACCTAACCACCTGTTGTGTGTGTTTTTCAGATCAGGTATGAAGCCAGGAGACATTGTGTTGGAGGTCAACGGGGTGAAAGTAAACACATCAGAAGAGATCTACAACGCTGTACGAACATGTGACAGCATCAAGATGGTGGTCCGCAGGGGTCAAGACCTTCTTTTGCTGCATATGGTCCCTGAGTTTACAGAATAACACCAGAATGACTTAATAATGATGGGAGAAAAATAGTCGAAGGAGAAAGTTAAAGAAAATGATACAAAGGTGAGGCTAGAAAAATAAGTAAGTTTATGTGAAATGTAGAGAAGAAGAAGGACAGAGATGTGGCTTGTGATATTTCAGTATGTAAGGAATGAGGACAGTAAGGAGTGTCTGAAGCAGAACTGAAGAATACACAGAAGTGTAGCATATCGAATGGTTGTCTAGTTTATTTGGGGTTAGGTTACCTAGCTTAAAGGAGTGTCATGCTGGGGACAAATCTACACATATACAGGTAGAAGACAATGGAAATGCCATATGAAAAAATGGCATTTTAAAGTGATTAAAAAGCATTGTACATCTATTGACAGTTATGGCAAAAGGCATTATTATAGAAAATTACAATTCTATTGAGAATTTGATCAGTTGTGAAAGGAGACTAACAGTTTGCAAAGCTGATGTTTAGAAATTGGCTTAGATTTGTTTGTAAAAGGTAAAATTAAGTATGAAAAGATGTGCAAACTGTTGGCCAAAAAGCATTGAAAAAGAAACAATATTCTATGCTTTCCACATCTGGATGTATTTTTCTTTTGAGAAAACTAGAAAAACACTTTGTCCACATTTTTCAGCCCTTCTCGCTTTTCAGTTCACCAGTTCAATAAGAAATGGCACCTCTTCTTAAAAAAAAAGTGATCCAGTGTATTTGAATGAAAATTGTTTCCAAAATGTACAACACTGTTCTGATGACTACAAAATAAATCTAAACACAAAGATTCTTAATTACTGATGTTCACTGATCCACATGTTGCTTAGTATTTCTATTTTGTCTACCCCTGTATATGTGAACGAAGGTGTCTCACTGGTACCTGTCTACTGTTATCTGCTCTATATCCTTTCTAACGGTTGATCAATGCTCATTAAACAAGAAAGTGGCATAAAAACTGCTAAATGTTTGAAATGTGAGTACGTTGACAAATATAGCTCTCTGCTTTTTTCTAGAGACCATCTTTTCTAGTGACCACTATGAGTGCTCTTAATGCACCTTTACATCAGTTTTGTCGTACACACTTTGGAACATGTATTATGTCATGAAATAACAATAAACAGTATTACAATTTTAATATGAAATGTTAATGAATGACAACCTCCTCACAGGAATGCTCTCTGCACATAGAGCCAAATAAAGTGATTATGCGGTCAGGAACCAATCAGCAAGACTTCATAACTTAAAAAGTAGTTTATTTTGGTATGATAGTAATTGCAAAATAAAAACGTTTTTGTTCGGTTGCTAATCATATGTGGTTCTTAAAGTTTGAACTATAAATAAAAAAAAACCTTTATAGTTTTCATTAGAAATGTGATATGTCACATTTATTTTACACTACCTGGAGAAAAGCAGTTGAAGCTTAGTCTTAAAAAAGCCCTGAAAACATTGATAAAACCTGGTAAAAGGAAGAAAAGGTAACATTCACTCATCTAAGAATGCCCATCATCATAGACACTGTGGGAAACATTTGGTGAAATGATGTTCATTGTAATGCTCTGATGCATGGAAAACAGTCATGCAATGTGATGCCATTTTAGCTGATTTTGTCTGTGTAATGAAAGTCTTTTGCAGCAACACATTTTCTATGTGATAAATCAAAAAAGATCTTTAAAGTTATATAAATAAGTTTCTTTTTTTGACAGGCAATGCATAGCACCATAAACATACAGTTCAGTCTATGCCACTGGACAGAACAAGGCCTTTTTTTCACGCTAAGCGTTATACACTTAGAAGGACCGGGTGATGTTCAGACCATTCCTCATCCAGAAAACTAATGCCCATGTTTTACCTATCTGCTCTCAGTCTTTACAGAAGATTATTGATTCCTGTCTTGTGAGTGAGGTACATATATGGTAACTTGATTATGTGTTTGGATGAAGGCAGATGTGTGACCTGGACGATACACTGCATATAATCTTGTCTGGATTAATATGTAAAACGTGGGATCTGGTGAAATGGATTAGGAGATTTGGTTGTTGAGCTGTCCGGGGTATTTCTCAAACTTCCTCTCTGCCTCCTCACTGAACGCATCACCTGGCAAGAAACAGAGACAGAGGAGTCAGTAAGAATATTGTTTTCATTTTCACAAAGTAAATAATGGACTTGCATCATCAACAGGTTAAATGCACATTCAAAGAAGGGCTGTCGAAAGTGTGGCCCATGTTTGATTTGGGCCAGCAGAAACATGTTCTTTTACTATGTAAAGTCTGTGTAAAGTTAATTGAATAAACCCAATTAAAAAAAACACTTGCATACGACTATATAACTTAAATTCTTAGTTTCCTTTTAAAACTGCTTTTTAATATGTTTTAATTTAAAATCTTCTTCTTTATTTGTATATTGTTTTGTCTTTTTGGCCCTCAGCACACCACAAACATTGACTGTGGACCTCAAAACAAAATGTTTGGGCACCACTGCTTTAAAGTGTGTAAAGAGATGTGTGTAGGTAAAATGCTCTCACCAATGTGACAGTTGTGAAGCCAGATCCTGTGACCGTCATATTTGCAGTTACATTTCATGGCGTTGTTTGTGAAGTCACTCTCAGATACCTCATAATTAGGATTTATCACAACCTGAAATGATCATGATACACAAAAAAAACATCACACACTTATTTTCTCCTGTTTGATGTTATGCTCAGAGACTGACTTTGAATATGGAATGCTTTTCAGTGGACCAAATAATCGCTGTTGCAACAAAACTTTGTATCTCCAATATGATGACTGTACAGGAGAATGAAAAAACATTATTATATCATAATGGAAGTTAATGTAAAAATTATTATTAATTTTTCCAAGTAATTTTGGAACATTTCTGTCTGTCTGTTCCTCATGAAATTTTACCACAATAAAAAGAGCAACTGAAGTTTTCAAATCATTTAGAAAAGTTAAAAATGGTAAAAAAAAAAAGAAGATACAAGGTTTTGATTCTGATACACAGTTTGGTGAAACTTGATGCTGCTCCAGTATTGCAGGCATAGTGAAAAATGTCTTGAACTGTCAGAATTAAGATCAGACCCTGAATGAATGTCCAGGCTTCATTCCTCATTCCCAAAACTTAATAACTCAATCTGTTTGCATTGCTTTCAAAATAATTACTGAATAACAGGCCTGCAAATTTAACTGGTTAAGATACAGCACGGCGTCCATAGGACAAATGTTTGACCTGTAGAATGTAATTTCCTGGTTTGACATCTGTGATATCGATCCACTGGCAGTCAATGTCATGCCTGTACAAATCCCAGCATCCCACGGTGATGCCCTGCTCTCCGAAATTAGCACATTCATATCGCTTAGAAACACCTGCAACCCAAAACCCAAAAAAGCAAATATGTCATTAGTCTTACGGTCATTCATGCTGGTGTTTCTGTGTGCATGGCTACTCTGAACAATATGCACGTGTATGTCTGTCTGTCTTACCCTCATGACATTCGCTGTCCTCCAAACAGAAGCTGGCTTTGTGGCCCTCTGCCACCTTGGTGCCATTGATAGACAGCAGGTCATAGTGGGTGAAGATATCCATACTGTGATAGTGCCTACGATACCACACATAGACATTATGCCTTTTTCCTCTATGCCAGTATTTTAAACTAATTCCTGGTGACCCACAGAACTGCATGGCATGGTTTCAAGTATTCCTTAGTTTAATACACCAGATCCAGCTCAACAACTGATTATCAAGCTGTTCTTAAGCTGGATCACGTGTGTTGGGGCAGGGAACAGTTGCAAATGCAGTGTTGTGGGTGGCCATGAGAAAAACTAAGAAATTCTACTAAGAATTAATTCTACCAAATTATTTTAAACTGCAGATAAAAAATGTATTTAAACTCAAGGCAGTAATTTAGGTAGTAATAAGCCAAATATATACAAAATCATCATTAATAGGGTACTTTCTATTGGTAGGTGACTCTTCTACACCCTAACCCTTAAGTTTTAACTTGTGAAAATAATGCTTTTTTCAATTTTTTAAGGATCTTTTGATTTTTTTAAGTGAAGTTGAATGATTTAGATTTATCATGAGTTTATTTTCTTAATTAAAAGCTTTATTCAAAAAATGATGTCCTATGTTTGCACGTCACTACAAAAACAAAGTATTAATTGTAGTCTGTAAGCGGAGCTTTATTTCAGCTATACTTCTGCATTTTAAAGCAGGAAGTGACACTGCATCCCTGTTCCCCATGGCCACATGGTGAATTAGATCCTATTGTGATAACATTTATGATTTTATGTGTTTTAACTGTTCAAATCTGTGTGTGCTAGTCATTTAGAAAAGGCTGTGCTTAAAATTAGCTGAAATTGTCATTACTCAAACATTTGTAAAGTTTCTGGAGTGTTATGATTGTTTTGGTCATGACAAAATAGAATGTTCATTCATTTGTTTCAATAAAACAAACAGTCAAGGTAAAGGGTCACTCAAGGTAATAGGATTTTAGTTTAAAGTCCAAGTTAGTTAAAAGTCTAAAATGTGTTTTGGATTCTGACTTTGAAACATTTGGGTAGAAAGATCCATTTATTAGGATCTGTCTGATATGCAAATTGTGTTGCTGATACTGATTTTAGGGGGCTAAAATTTCTGATAACATATAATATCGGCTGATATAATTTTACAAATACTTTTAATATAATAATATAATTTTATACTCCAACAGTTTTGGTTAAACAGTGCTTTACTGACTGATATGACTATCAGTTCTCAATTGTCAAACTAAACAACAGAAATTCAACAAGTTTTAAATAATATAATCTTTGTAGCACTTAGGAGGTTGCCCATAATCCTCTGTGGTTTAGGTTTCTGTCTCGTACCTCTTACTTTTCTTCATTTTCAGCAGAATTTTTTTTATAAAATCTTATTTTAATACTAAAGTTTGGTTACATTTTACGTTATTCAACAAAATAAACTCAACTTAACTCACAATCAACTCAAACTGAACAGTGGATAAATTTTCCTTTCCATAAAGAAACATATTTGAATGGCGTCTTTGTAAGTTCAGACTACTTATAATTACCCATGGCATGCATGCCAGACCCAGGAGTGGCGTCCAGCTTTAGGCCTGAAATCAGCACGGCCGATGTTGTGGATCTCAGACGAGAAGCGGAGTAGGCGGCGGTGACCGTAGGGCCAGTTGGCTTTGGCAGCAGTTGAAGACAGACAGTCTTCCTCTGCAGCACAGTACAACATGTGCAGTGGCCGGTCTTCTATATATACCGTCTGCTGCACCAGAGGAGCATTCAGCACCAGATCAGAGGCAGCTGAGGCAAAGAGCACAAATACAAAGCACTGTAAAAATGACAAGTGTCTAATAAAAAACGAATTTAAAAAAGCATTAATATAGTAACTAAAAATGGACACTATTGTCACATTACAGTGAGACCAGTGCTTTGTAAGCGGCGTAAGAAGTGAAATTATCTTGGTGATACTCATTGGCCCAGAAATGTGCAGACATTTGATTTATAGGAATGTTTGCTGTTTAGATTGTTGTGTACAGTTTTAGACCTGACCTGTCAAGTGATAAAAGTAAACGTCAATGTATAATTGTCTCAATTTGGGTTCTGATCTTTGTCAGCCAGTCTCTGACATTTCCACTTTTAAAGCAAGAGCCGCAAATTGCAGGTCTGTAGGAAGAGACCAGACAAAAGGTCTGATACAGTCCTCACTCTTTGCCATCAAAGGGAGATAAAGCATCTGTAGATGAAGGACTTCTTCATCCTTAAAAAAGCTGAGTTGAGACCACAAAAACAAAGTTAACCTCACTTTGAACTGTTGTTATTGAACCAAATATAAAGCAACAATGCTTGTGTGTGCTTGTGAGTTGATCCGACTACAAGATGTTCTTAAAGTGCAGCTTGAATTCAAAAGTTGAAAAAATCAGGAGTGTCCAATTCTGGTTGTGGAAAGAAATCAGTAAATTGTGCTGGACTATGCGAGACTGTTCAAATGCTCAAAAAGCACTGTGCATGTGGGCATGTGTGTGCATGTATCTGTTACTCACTCTCAGAGCAGATGACCCCTGCAGCGAATCGAGCGCCTGTTTTCGGGCAGCTGACGGTTTTGTGCTGCTGGCACTGGCTGAGTGACAGTTCATCTCCCGTACACTTCACTCCGCTCATCACCATGTCCGTCACGTTACTGCCATCCCAGTACCACGTTTCCTTAGCAACCACCACACAAACACAAACACTGTTTAGCTTTGCGATTTTCCTTAAGTGACGGCTGCCCAGCCTTACTCCTGGAGATCTACCGACCTACAATGTTTAGTTTCAAACCTAACTTAACACAGCTACCTCTACTGACCAAATGTTCCTGACCTCTTTGACTAGGAGCATAGTCAAAGACTGTTAGACATGTCCACCCTGCCAAGTGAGCAGATGTCTAGGAGCAGGGCTGGGCATCCTGCCTTAAGCACTGCGACTGTTGCACTCCCTGTCTCACATCAATGAATTTTCCTATTCCTAATCTAAACATTTGACTCATCTCATAGAGAGTATGAGAATTATATTGAATTGTTGAATTAAGTATTAGAACAGCGGCTATGGAGATGATTCCCAGCCAGTGTGAAAAACACACCTAACAAAGCAGCAAAACCTTCATTAGATTGTCCAGATAATTGACCTCTTTACTGAAAAGCAATTAGCAGGGACTTGTGTTTTAAGAATTAAATGCTGAATTTGTGTCAGAAGTGATTTCTAATCCTCCCTGAATACAGTGCCTTGCAAAAGTATTCAACCTCCTTAAAAGTCATCAGATTCATCTGGATTACAAATGGCACATGGATACTTCGTGGAGTTTGATATTTTATTTTAAAAGACTGAAACTAATCAATTCATTTATGAATTAATTTATAGTGATACTGGTTTTATGTAAGAATGTATCCTGAAAATGTTATTTGCATGAGTATACAACCCCTGTGCTATGAAAGTTTACATAGATGAATGATATTGCCCTAATGAGGGCACAGTTGACTTACAACTAGCATCTACCTGTGAATCATTAAAAATTGTACCTTTTCTGGATAAAATCCCCCCCTTAATTCAATTACTGTTGGCCAGACTGTGAATCTGAAGGAAAGCTATGAAAATTAAGACTAAAGAGCATTCTAAGGAAATTAGAGATAAAGTTATAGACATACAGAAGATATTAAAAGGCCACAAAATAACATCCAAGTGTTTGGATATCCCAGTGAGCACTGCTGGATCAACTATGAGGAAATGGAAGCTGCATCATATCACCCAGGCACTGGCTAGACAATGCCATCCCTCAAAACTCTGCATCAGAAAAAAGAAGCTTCAGAGTTCAGTGGCTGAGACTGGAGTGACGATGCAACAGTCAATAATATCAAGAGCTCTGCAAACAACTGGCCTGTAAATTGAAATGTGAAAATTAAGCTTTTTTGGCCAAAATTCTAAATTCTTTGTGTGGCACAAACCCAACGCTGTCCATTCCTTAACAAACACCAACAGTGAAGTATGGCTGTAGCAGCATCATGTTGTGTGGATGCTTTTCCTCAGTGGGGTCTGGGCATCTTGTTTATATTAAAGGATGGCTGGACGGTACGAAATACATGGAGATACTGCAAGACAACCTGCTTCTGTCTGCTAAAGAACTAATGTTTGGGAGAAACACCTCAGCAGGACAATGATCCCAAGCACTAGGTCAAAGCAACATGGGAGCGGTTAAACAACAAAAAAGTGAATGTTCTACAACAGCCAAGTCAAAGTCCAGATCTCAGTCCAATCAAGAATCTGTGGCACTATCCAAAAATTGCGGTGTTATTCAACTAACCTGAAGCAAATCTGCCAGAAACAATGTCTGAAAATCACTCCCAAACAAACAATGAGCAAAACTTGTAGAAACAGACACCTACCAAATTGTACCAAATACTAGTCTGCAGGGGTTGAATACTTATGTAAGCAGCATTTTTAAGTGTTTAATTGATGAAATAATGAATAACGAATAATAAATAATTAGTGACTTTTGACTTTAATTTTTCTAAAATTGACTTTAACAACATACTGGCTTTTAATAAAAATGCCAGCAGCGACAATCTGTGTAATTTGAGGGGGTTAAATACATTTGCAAAGCACTGTCTTTTTTCAATTTGGATTGCGAAGAAACCAACAACAGCATTAATGCAATTGTGGTTGGAGTCAAAATAGTTTATTACCTAAAGGCAAGGCTCACTGTTATTTAATATGTGATTTTAATTTAAGTTTTTCAAATTATTATTATTATTATTATTATTATTATTATTAATAAAAACAGGCTAAACAATATAGGCCAATGATAACAAAGGCAGTACACACAAAAGTGGGGCTGCAGCTCCTGAATTCAGAGAAGTCTTCTTGGATTACTTTTTCAGCAGACAAACTGTGAAATCTCACAACTATTGCTGCCTTTATGTATGAAATTACAGCCCCAACCTAAACAACTTTTGGGCATTTTGTACATCGCAAGGTCTTTTAAAAAAATTTTTAAACATCTGGATTTGTTCTCTAGAGTTTGTATTACTTGAAGGACTACAACTTCCATAAACACTAGCTTGCATGACTACGCTTGATCAGATGTCTTGGGCAAAGGGGAAATGCTTAATAATGCACACACACATTGTTGGAACAGCTCACAAATAATTGAGTACAACTTCCATCAGTACTCGACTCGACAAAATGTTATTAAATGGAGATATACATACGTGTACACAAAGGTCTATCGCAAGTGTGCAACAGTGACCTATTTTGTATTTGCACAGGATTCATTACTCCCAGCAGTCGTGACAATATTTTTGCATTGTTCATCCCTGCTATTATCATAGTCTTTGAATTTTAGAAATGTGTACAGAATATACATGTTTGTCTGTGTGTGTGTGTGTGTGTGTGTGTGTGTATGTGTGTGTGTACTCACAGTAATAGCATGCATGCTGAAACCCAGCCCTAGCTGTCTGCAGGCCACCATAGCCTCTTTGGTGGTCCAACCCTCACTGCACACACTCCCCCAACGCTGACCCACCCGAACCTCCACTCGCCCCTCGTACTCCGACCGCCCGCCTACCAGCCGCACCTGTACACACAGCCTATGGCATGTTAGTACACACAGTCACTCAACCTTTCGTCTGGTTCCTGCACTACCCTACTAGACGTCTCTTTGTTTTCCAGCAAGCTGAAAAGCTTCTGTATGTGTTATTGTTAGTGAGGGTTTAGCATGCAGCATCAGCAGGGTTGAGTGGAATACTTTGACTGTACTTTGAAGTATTGATTGCTGAATACTGAATACACTGATCTAGACGTATTCAGTAATGTGAGTAACTTATACATGAGTAACTTATTCAGAATACATTTAGTTTTATAAGTGGGAAACAATGCATATTTTAATAAAAACTTTATGGGTTTGTCACAGGTTGAATTACACTGTAATTATAAACATACTGACCTTTACTGCCTTTTCAAAATGTGGACTGAATACAAGGTACTTAATTTTTGTATTCTGAATATGTCCTGCTGTTACCTGTATTTCACTGCAACCCAGCCCTGACCATCAGTGAGTATGAAGGACCTCAGGGGAGGTTTAGGCAAAGCAGGCACTGAAAGTGGGCATCAGGTGCCACCATTAGTGTTAGCATCCTACTTGCAGGCCGTGATTGGCGTATCCGAGACCCAGCTGTTTGCACACCACCATGGCCTCTTTGGTGCCCCAGCCTTCTCCGCAGATCAGGCCCCAGTGCTGGGTTCCATTAGCCCCAGATCGCAACACTTCCACACGGCCCTCGAAGCGTGAACGGCCCCCTGTGATACGCACCTGAGCAGGACACAGTCCAGGAGGAAAGGAAGGGGGTAGGGGTCAACTTCCTTTATACCAACAAGGCCATATAGGAAGGAGAGTTAAAAAGAGGCTGGGAAATGCAGTTTCACTGTGGGTAATGTATTAAAACACACAGGAAACCGCACAGAAATCACATAAATCTCTTAGAATGTCACTAAAGCACTGTTGGGCAAAGCTGTATTAATCCAGGGGCTGCAGCCTAGGGCCCTGGCCACTTCAGAGGCCAGTGAGCATAATTCTAAACTGGTAAATAATATTGAAGTAAGTATTGAAAAATATGCTTTAAAATATGTAGCTCTGTCTTTTTAGATTATAGTAATTTTGCAAGGAACTCTTTTCAGCACAACTTTAGCCCATGTTCACTTTACTGAGATTAACTTTACCTCTGGAATATAAGAGGTAAAGTTAAATAAGGAATAAATAAAATAATAATAATTCAGAATTGTTATAAATTTATTCTGATGTATGTCAATGTTAAATGTTTTGATTGAGGTGCATTAAGGGCCCCCAGAATGCCTTAATACAGTCCTGAAGCTGGGTGATAAACTTAAATTTTTAGTAAGTCAATGATTTTCTGTCATGCTGACATTTTCCATCAATTACTGTAAAATCTCGGAGCAAGTATCACTTTGAACACTCAGCAAACTGCTGCAGAGACTTTAGCACTACATTAATGCTGAGACATACAGGTTTCAGGGGTTAGAATATTCACATGAACATGTTCCAGCAGGATGTGAACTGTTCATGTTCTCAGGTCACTTTTGCATGAAGCACATTGCTAGACTGCAATGCTTCAGCTGCAAATTTAAAATTGATTAGTATAAAAGTAACTTAAGTATCTCAAGTTTACATTGTTTTAGGTTGAGCTTAAGACAGTTATAAAATAAAGAAGAGCAAAATGTTTAAAAAAAAGCTTCAATGACTTAACTATCACTGCAACACTTACCAAATAAAATACCTTTTGGTTAATTTACCAGTTAAAAGTATGCATCTGTATATATCTGTTAAAAATATCTTTCAAAACAAGAGTGCAATTTGAGATAACAATATGAAGGACAGAAAAAGACACAAAGTCTTGTAAATATAATTTTCTGTAAAAATGATATAAAGGACAATGGTGATTCACATATTTATAATGTAACGAAAAAAAACCTTGTTTCTTAGGTGAACATAAGTGTATAGTAATAGTATGTTTATGTGGGAGAGGAATGTCTCTGACCGTTTTCTCAAAGCCCATGTAAGGGACGTTACAGCGCACCGCAGCGTCCTCTGTGTGCTTGCAGTCCTCAGCAGTGATGTTCTTAAAGCGACAGTTCCACAAAGAGCGCTCTTGGCCTGCGCACTGGACTTCATTCATATGGATCGGCCCAATGCCTGCAACATAACACACACACATAAGCACCCAAAACTGCAAATATTATACATGCTGCACACTCCTGATCATAAGTTTGGAATCACCATTCAATGGTTTGAAATCATTCTAATATGAATCATCATTCTAATATGACAATAATACTCCATAACTTTATAGGTTTTAACTAATTTGTAGAAAGCTATAAAAATGTTGATGTGTCCAGAATGGTCACAGAGCTGTAGATGATACTGAGAAAACTGTTTAAAACTGAGAACAAATATCTTCGAAATAGTAACTTTACAAGAAAAGCAAAAAACATTCATAATTTTGAAAAGAAGTTCATGAAACGATTTTTTATTTTAATTTTTGAAGTAATTTTTGACCACTTCTTTTGATCTATTCATCATTAAATTTTAACACAATTTTAACATTTTCAAATACTGTACAAAAATAAGTTTCAAAGATAAAGAGAAAAAGGTTTTTCTTACAATGTGACTACACAGCTTTAGATTCAGCAAAATCAACTATATTTTAAAGAATCGGTCTGTATCTTCTTCTCTCTGTGTCTCTCTTTCTCTCACCTTGTCCCATGCGGGCTCCAGTGAGAGCCAGTTTAGCAGAGCCATAGCCCAGCTCTCTGCACACCACACTGGCAGCCTGCAGGTTCCAGCGGTCATCACACACCGTCCCCCATTCTGTACCCTTCAGCACCTCCACACGGCCTTCTCCCGGCCTCGCTCCACCTTTCAGACGCACTGTGCTCTGCAGCAGAGAGAGACAGAAAGACAGAGAGAGAGAAGAGGGAGAAAGAGAGATGAAGAGAGAGAGAAGGACAGAGACAGAGAGATAAATCAATGAGAATAGCTCTGCAAAAATTCAAATAAAGCTCTGCTTTATAAACACACAAATATTACCGAAGTCTTGAGTTTTTTCCTCATTGCCCGGTTTTGGGTGTAATCCGGTCCAGGCACGCAGCTGACCGCAGCAGGCATCCCTCCTGGACATGTCTCTGTGGCATTGGCCTGATTAAACTCCAAAGGACAGGCAGCCAGGTGCACCTCTGTGCCTAAACATGCCACAGAGTGAACCAGAAAGTAATTCTTCTGTCGCTCCGCATACAGCCTGAGAGAGAGGAGGACAAGAACAGACGGGCAAAGTGAAACGGGGCTGTTTCTGCTCATATCGGGGCTGTTTCTGCTCATATCGGCTTAACAAAATCAACATATCATCACTGTACAAAAAGTAAATAAATAAAAATAAAAATGGTGACTTTACAAAAGCAGGCACAATGTTCTTAAATTTGAATGTTAATGTAATGATTCATTTTGGAGCGCTTCAATTTGTCTATTCATCATAAATTTTTCACACAATGTAAAGGGAAGCTGAAGAAAAAAAATTGAGATCTTTTTTCTTTTGGACAAAGACAATATCTGAGATGAGTCTCTGAACTATTTGAATGAGAATGTGCTCTGATATTATTCTTTTTTCTGATTGTGACTAATAGACAGATGTAATCAAATACAATTAAAAAACCTGATAGAAAAATTTCAAACAATTGTACACATGGAGTGGAGGGTGGGACTGTTCTGAAATCTTTTGTTCTTGTGTATTCAATAATACAGTGAAATTCTGTAGATTCTATGCAAAAAAAAATAAATAAAAAATAAATAATCACACATATACACTCATAAAAAAAGAAAACATCAATTACACATATACTACTGCTGAATAAGTTTGACCAAAGTCATTCTCCCGCAGTTTTCCAAGGTTACCTTTTGGCTGCCGCTGGCTTGCCAGGTTTAGATTTAGAGCTAGCTTTAGTGATAGCTTTAGCTTTGGGGTCCTGCCTGCAATGCAAACATTCATTAAGTCTGAAAAACATTCACATTTCCACCACAAAACCAGCACAGACATGCAAACACTCACACGTATAATGGCTACTTGGGAAAGCTGGTAAATACAAATTGAGGATAGCTATCCACTCATAATTCATGCTGAGCTAATCATAGCTTGGAAGTGAGAATGTAAACATGCAGAAAAGACGCAAATATGAAAACAATTAGGGAATGCTTGACATAAAATTGTGTATAAAGCCATATCTAGAATTTCTTATCAACACTGGCAGTCAAAAACACTGCTCACAGGCACGTGTCATTCAATGATATTAAACTACTGTTTTGATGTGTTTAACCTCTCTGTTCACTTAAAAGAGGAAAACCACAACAAATGTTCTAAATAGCCCATTAAGACAGTGTAAGATGGCTCACAGTTCATTAAGAGAAATTCAGGCACGTTTTAAAGCTCCCACTGAAATCTTATAGGAAAAAAACTTGAGAAGTGGTTCCTTTAAACCATTTTAGGAAAGTATGATAAAGCAGTATGAGGATATCTCCAGAATAGAGGAACTACAAAATGCTAATAAGCACTACAGTGTCATGAAATGTTTTATGATGTGACAAAACCCAATGCATTTACATATTGTAGCGAACTGCTGCTGGCTGGCACTGGCAACGAGAAATACGGGAGGTGTGGACATGCGAGTGGCCACTGTGGAGGCTCATGGTAGGCACACGCCCTAGTAAAAGGGGACTTATTGTTTTTAATATCGCTGTTTATTAGTTTTAAGGTATGTATATGTGTTTGTTGTGTTGTTCAGTGTCAGGGGGTGGGTTTAGTTAGTGTGCGTTGATGGTCACTGTGAAGGTGAAGTGTATGTCTAGTGGTGACTTCCCCAGCGGGTTTGGTGCTTTGTATGTGCCTTTCTGCCCTGGAGTTTAAATCAAGAGCACTTCTTGTGGTGGAGTCATGGCCTCCCCTGTGTCCTACTCTATACTGATGCTACAATATAGTTTCAGCCTATAAAATCCTAGTCCTGAACAATTATGCTCAACTTTTCAGCAGAAGGAAAAACTGTTCTTTACTTCTAACGTAAATTAACGTAAAGAGATTTTAATGCAAGTAATTTTGGAGCATTTCTATTGGTCCATTCATCATGAAATTTTCACACAATGTAAATCATAGCTATTGTGTTCCAATGCAGAAAATACAGAGATACTTGTTTTTCTTTGGACAGCGATGATATATATCAACCTTAAAGACAAGCTGTTTCCAACCACATACTACCATACTACAAAAGTGCATCAAAACTACAATAGTACATCAAAAATGGTACACCACCAGTGGAAGTACATTCATTAGTATAGTATGCATAGTATGTACAGTGTGGTAGTATGCGGTTTGAGACGCAGCCACAGTAACAAAAACAGCCTGTTTAATTCTAAGGATAAAATGAGGTTGGAACATGATGATGTAAAAAAAATAACCATTGTTTTTAGTGCATAAAACCACACAAATGTTGTAAGTGCACTTTATGTGAAAAAAATAAAACACAAGAAAAATGTACGATGTGGTTTAAGTGAACAGACAAGACAAAGACATCAAAAACAGTTGCTGAACATCATAATACATTAGTGCATATGAGCAATTGTTTCTGACTGCCAGGGTATTTTACTACACTGATTTCTATTTGGGAGGCCCTTAGTCATTCAACTTTCCCATGTTTTTGTTACAGACACTGAACACGTTATTCATTCAGACAAAAATGAGCACTTCAAGATATTTTCGCATTGTTGCAGATGGTCAATCACAGTGATAAAATATGCTGTCCTAGTGGCTGAACACAGGCAGCAGAAAGATGTGTTATTGTTAGTGTAAGCTGATTGCATTATAATTATGTCATGCGTAACCTCAAGTGCTCTCTCTCTCTCTCTCTCTCTTTCTCTCTCATTCACTTTCTTGCTCTCTCCCACACATTTTCTGTTAGCATTTACTCAGACATGTGCACAGCTTCATCTCCAAACTATGTTAACAAAACTAACAGATGTCAATGAGTTCCTCATGGGCCAGTGGTCCCTGTGTCATTCCCTCCATTCTTAGTGCATCTCTCTCGCGCCAACCAGACTCCCAACCCCCAGGCCCCAACCACTTCCTCTGGCTTCTACTACAGTCTGACTTTCTTTTCAAGGCATGATATATTTCAACAAGTGAACAAATGCTATGAAGTTACTGTACATGAAACATGAAAACCACTGAATATGAGGATATTAAAGGGGAATTCCACATTTTTTTAAATTCTGCCCTAATTAAATTGTTGCCATGTAAACAAAGTCATTCAGAGTGATTTGATATGAAATGTTCCAGAGAAACTTACTGAGTCAGTGTCGTTCACAGTCGTAGTGATAGGAACCAGATGTCTGAAGAGTTTAATACCTCTAAAAGTTCCCTCACAGAAAGTGATTACATGAATATTTTTTTTAATAGATTAGATTTTAGATTCTAAACAGATTTCAATAGATTATATAGATCTTTAGAAATGCATTCATGGTAACCTTCATGGTGCAGGGATTTGAAAGATCACCCAAATAACTATATTTTCAAATTTACCACTATTTTACAATTATTAACTATACACAGAAAAACTGAGAAGGCACATGTAGGTTCACTGGTGGTTTTGGATAGTTAATAAAATGGCTATATTTATGTTGTAGACATTGCGACTCCTACTTTCTATCACTGTAATGAAATCTAAGACAGTAAGTTTATCTTCAGATAATAATTTTTCATGAAACCACTCTGAATGACTGTTAACAACTTAACAATGAATTTGCAGAAAATGCAAAAAATTGTTGGAATTCCCCTGTACTCTAATAACCAGGGATTTATTATTTTCAATTATCCATCAGATAATTGAACAAAGCAGTGAAAGCAAGTGTTAGTTGGAAAGTGATTGCAACCACTAGTGCTGCAACTAAAGATAAGTCTCTGAAAGAGACACTGGACTGTAAACGTCTAGGGGAAGAGCACTACTGGTTTCTTCCCCTCAGATGATACCTGACTGCTGCAACTCTAACTTTGACTTTTGGCTCAGGAGATCTCTTTCTGAGATGCCTGCAGGAAATAAGGAGATCTTATCAAAAACACAAGTGGGCACATGCACACAGACACAGATGGATACACACAGATACCAACAAAGATACACACACTAGGACTGGGCGATATGATACTGTCATGACAAACTGTGTCATGATGAGCTTTTCTAAGCAAGGAACATGGATTAATTGCAGATTCCATTAAAAAAGAGCATCAGGAGGGCATAATGAAAAGCTGTCTGGGATTTACAGTGTAAGGTTTTTGTTGTCATTAGAGTATAACTTGTCCTGTTTACTAGGATGTAGAGATACATAAAAAGTGAAACATTGCACATTCTTTTTTATTTGGGATTATTAACATCTTTATAATGAAATACTGGAAAATATGGAAAATGAAATATTGTGATAAATATCATCACAAAAATATCATAATATTTTTGGCATACCGACCAGTAGGACCAGGCACTACAGACAATACAGATATCCACATCATCTCAGTAATCTTTTTAACTGGGTTTTATTTGGATGTTTATTCAAGTAAGGCATGTATGGTTTGCAATAAAAAAGAGAAATAAATTGTGTATTATCTTGTCATTTTCTAATGTATGTTTTTCACTAAACATGCTGAAAAGAACCATATAAATACACATGCAGCCGATGGGATTGCAGCTTATGTTATGCAAAATGTGCCCTTGTTTATACAAAACAATACAAAATATTTTGTTAAAACGAGACAAAATCACAATTGGAAATGGTCAAAATTGAGACAAACACTGTAGTGGCTGTCAGTATATGGCCAACCCTGGTCCTGGGCGGGGGGGCAGATTCCCAAGCAGTTTGGTGATTTTCCTATTCAAATGCGCCTGATTCAACTTATCAGTTAATAACCACGTTTAGCTGAAGTTTTATAAACACCTTAAAACCACTTGTGGTGGACACCTGGCCTTCAGAACCACAGTTAGTCACCCCTGCCTTACATACAGAATTACACTGATTCCTTTCTGTTTCAGTGCTTTTAATGCTGTTCTGAACTTATTAAGGCAAATATATCATCATCTTTAGGTATATGACACTAATTTTCCCAGAAGGATTACTACTGTATTCCCTAGCGTGAAAGAAATGGGACTGATTTGCTTTTATTAGAGATAATAAAATATAAATCAATGTGTTTTATTCATTTGCTGGCCTCTTTCTCCAAAATAAGACATTCCACATTCTTAACAATGTGTTACATTTACAGGTTCCAATACAATATTCCAGAAACTATAAAAGTTTATGTGAGGCCAGTGGAAATGCTATCAGACAGCATGAGTCAGGGTTTAAGGTATGCATGGTGAGGATATGTGATGCGAGGCAGAGTGGAAGAACAGTGAAATCTTGAGGTCTTCTTGAGGTCAACCCAGCAGGAAATTAATACAGACAGATTTCCTCACATAAATCTGATCAGACTGCAGGCTGCAGCACATCATTCCACTGACAGCTCATTAGAAGACCTGAACAGGTTTATCTGTCTATACTGCCATTTATACTGTACATAAAGAGGTGTTAGTGACAGAGTGTGGGTACAGTTGTGGGTTTGTGTGTGTGGTGTGGTGGGGGTGTCTTGTGGGTTGAAGTCTGGATTTTGGTGAAGCGTGGATTCATGAAAGTGAGACATTCCTCCAACATTCCATGGGTTTCTAGGAAAAACCCCCATTCTATACTGTCTGTTCTCTCCTAGCACATTCATCCATTTCAGTCTTCATATCTTATCTCTTGGAATGCACAATAATTCAGAGCAGTTGTACAGTGTATGTAAAAGTTTGTGCACCCTGGTCACGTGGCACATTTAATATGTTATGTTTTATTTTTTCCAATATGTTAAATTTAGCAAATAATTAGAAACTGTGCTCTAAATTTTGCTAAACAATGCCATATTTAAGTCTGTTCCCTGCAGAGAATTTGTCAACTTATTTTCACTTAGAAAATCAACAAAACAAATCCACAAACTTTTTGCACATGACTGAACTGTTCAGCAATGAACAGACATTTAACATGAATTGATTTTGATTTTCATAAATATAAATACTTCTGTCTAATGATCAGCCTCACTTCATTTCTTTATTCATTATTCATTACTGTATATTCATTAATCATTTCCTTATTCATTATTCTCAAAACTCATATTGCTTTTGTTGTGTTATTGGAAGATGGACTCGGCTTTTGAGTTATGGTTCCTCTCAAAGTTTCTGTCCTTCTGCTCTTCCCTATCATTGTTACACCTGGCTTGTCCACTAGCAGCTCGGACCAGTTTTCCGTAAAGCTGCTTTTCGACAAAGTCAGCTGTAAAAAGCGCTAAGTAATAATTAGAATTGAAATGCCCTGAAACGGGTAAACATAACTACTGTTATTGGTACAATATTTGAATTACAACTGATAATTTAGTGCCCTGTTTTTAGCTTGTGTGCACTCTGACACACACAGTCAATAATGCTAGGCATTCCATTCTTTTCAAGTCACTCAAATGGATGGCATAGATGAGAGCAGGCATGCGTCACTTCCCTGTCGTCTGAATGAGCACAGCCCCTTTTCACTGAAAACAAACCCCGTCAGAGTGCCAGCACCAAATTAGAAATTCTAGTGGCCCTATGCCTAAAATCTGCTGAGTCGCATTTTGCACGCCTAACAATAAAAAAAAAAAACAGTTTACAATTTTCTTCACTTCCCCAAAGAGTGTAGGACAGCAAAAGGAGAGGCCTGTGCTTCAGTCCATCTGCAGAGAGGATGAAAATGGTAAACTGCTGCACCCGGTCAGCCAATGCGATTTATTGCTGTGTTATATGGCATTATATTCAGTACTGTGTGTTGTACCATGCATGCGATGTGATTGTACCTACAACATTCTGTTCAGCCTATTTTTGGTCTATGCCTGGTCATGTCTCTCACACTTGTCATGCATAGACTGGGTCTAATCTTGGCATCACTCCAGCCTGTATAATTGTGACCGTCCTTTGTTTAACGGGCTGGCTAAATGTCTGGGTACCTGCGCGAAAGATATAAAGATCAATTCCCCAGACATAAGGGTGCTCCCTGGTTTGACAAGGGTTTGGATTTTTCAATACGTATACATCTGTGACAACCACTTCATTACAGGTAAGTTAATGATGTTAAAGTCAACAGTTGCAATGCTAAAATTCAAAGTAGTGAATGTTGATGCTGCATTGAAAGGGCAATAATACCAGAACACAGTGAAAAGCCAAGGAAATCCCAATTTAATGTTAGCTTGTAACAAAAGGGTTGCTTTAGCTAACAGCTAGCTCGCTAGCATTGGCTGCAGCCAGCTGGCTTCTCCCCCTGTTTGTTGAAATATGGGTACCAAGTAAAACAGCTTTAACTGCTGGTTCACTGAAGTGATTTTTATGTCATAAATATTGTGATAATAATACAAATTGAAAGTGTGTTGAAATGCTGCATTAAAGCCATGAAGATAAAACTATAGAGAATTAAATTGTAATATGACACTTTTGGCCACTGGGTAGGGTCGTTTGTCCACTTTGATGGACACAGACTGAAAGGACACTCATCTGCCCCTATTTCTTTAATTTTTTATATATAACCACACCGGTCATTGATCAGCAACAACATGACATAATTGTTTGCCTGACTGGCCATGGGATTTGGGCTCCTAATAGCTATAAATCAGTGTGGTATTCTTATTTTATGCTATTAAACTGTCAAAGATCTCAGAATTTGTATTTACCACTAGTCAAATTAGTGGGGCTGCTTTAACCCCAAAAAGGGGCAGGGGCATTATGCAAGGGCAAAGTACCCGGCTGTGTTGCTGTCATCTATAGTAGATAACACAACAGCATGACAATATGGAACACTTTTAACACAATATGGAACCAGTTTGATCCCCCTCCCAGGCATGAACAACACTGCTGTACCAATATGAGCACATACAAACACGCACACACACACATGCACATTGCTCTACCAATAACAGTGCTTCCTTTATCCTTTAAGATATCCATAGACCCCCGAAACTATATTCAAATTCCACAGTATGTGGAAGTGTACTAGGTAATGGAAAATATTTGTGTATAATTAAAGAGACATTTTCAATACTATCTGAAGTATCTGAAGTAGCACTGCCAAGACTGTATAATATTAATCAACGATCCATCTCTAAACTGTTTAACGCACATTGCAATTCATATATGGATTACAGTCTGAACTTAATGAAGCAGAATCTAAGCGACCACACTGACAAACACACATGAGCATGGTGGTTACTGCTGGTTGTGTAATGTTGATGTTATGTCAATGTACTCTCTTAACTAGGCTTTTTTTTCACAGACGCCACAGTGGACTACTGATGCAGCAGCCATTTCAGTGTTAAATGAGTGCACTAACATACTGCTCTCAGTGTTTCACAGCAGGCACCAAGGCAGACTATGTGTCTGTGAGTGTAAGTGCTGTGTATGTAAGGGTCATTCTACCACTGCAGTGCCAGACATGGTACGAAGGTTGATAATGAATTCAAGAGTAAAACGTAAAGTTGTAACAAAACAACGACTGTAACACTACCAACAAACTTATTAAACTCTTATTAAACTTATTAAACGCTTTTCTAAAATACAGTCCACTGCTGCCTTCATTGCATTGTATGTAGAAAATGACATATATTGCATTAATGCTGTTATTTTACTTCAATTTTAAAATACTTTCATGTTTCAAGAGTAATACCACCCTTATAACAGCACTAATAAGAAAGTAACACCACTAGTATGAGATTTTACTAACTGTGGACTTCTCAAAATTAATCTTTCTTTCATTGAGATATCCAAACAAGAAGTAATATTTATTTATTTTTTTATTCCAAGTTTCTGTAACTCCACTGACAAAATAAATGGGACAGGATTTATTATCAAAATAAAACTATATGCATATGGTTAAAAGAATTTTTACATAGGACAGACAATAATTTTATTACATTTTTAAAACTGAAACCGAAGAAAAGCATAACAATAGTTGTTTCACATAAGGATAGCACTTCAGCATCTGTGAAGTCACTGTTGTAACAAGCAGCTTTTCATGCATAACATGACTAGAAAATTACCAAAATTTGGGACACCATTTGCCGTTTGGTAGAATGACCCGTATACTGCGAATGTGAAGTATTTCATGTGTGCATTATGTTCATGTGAAAGTTTGCTTTGTGTGTATGTTCTGTATTAGGGCCTTATTTCTCACACAGCCGTGAAACTACACTGCACTTTCTGTTGCACTGACAAAAACCGTCCACACGACAGCGAGAATCTCTTATTACCAACAGACCACACACACATCCACACAGAACACAAACACATACACACAGGTGCTGATGACCCAACATTTTCAAAAGTGCTCTGCACGTGTGTCGGCAGAGACTGTTATTTGTGAAGCTTTAATCTGAAATTAACTTCAAAGGCGAATCTACCCTAGAAACCTCTCCAACAGCTTCACAGAAAACAGGCCTGTATAACACTACCTTTCAGTGCGCACTCACTTGTAAAAGTTCTTGTTAACTTTCCTCTCGTGGGGGAATCCCATCATGCCGCAGACGACCCGAGAGTTTTTGGGGGTCCAGCCATTATCGCAGACCTGAGCCCAACCGTCCTTGTACCTCACCTCCACCACCCCCTCGGTCACAGGTACCCGCTTGCTGGCCATAGCAACCACTGGCCGCAAACGCACCTCCTCCACTTTCCTCTCATCTACCTGCACCTGGACAACAGACACAAATCAGCCCCCATGGAGGAGAGCCACACTGCAAAAAGGCATGCAGTAACCTTACTTGATCAAAATGAGTGTATCATTTCTACATTAATTAAAATATCTCAACATAAATTTTGACAAAATTAGTTACATATTTTGTTCATGCGCAAATAACATACACATTTAAATGAATGCACTACTTCAAGGCACAGAGGTAAAGGTCCAGTCAGGCTAATCCTTCTCAGATGTGAATTGGTAAAAGGTGATGGGGAAAAAGTCGGTAGCAGACATCAGCTAATCAGAAAAACCTGTTATAGGTGCAATGGGCCACAAAATCCTTCCCATATGATGTCTGTTTGGGGTTGAGGTCAACTTCATGGACTTTCAGAGATGAATGTGGTAAATAAATGTAAATAATCCTTTTTTTCAGTTTTTATACACTTTTTGATTTGTACGAGAACTCAGCATTTTGTTACCAATACTGATAATGATTTTAAGGAGTTAAAAATAATAATATTTGACAATATGTAAAATTAGTTTCTGATAGTTTTGGGTAATTAGCACTTTATCCTTAATATAACTGCCAATTGTCAAATTTGACTGTATGTTTGGTTGATGTTCAATAAAGTGCTACATTCTTCAATGTGGTGTTCTTACAAAACATTATTGAGAAATAATGAAGAGACATTATCAATATTTTATTGCTTCTACCAATTTTACCAGCCAAACCAATTAAAACAAAACAAAGCAAACAACAACAACAACAAAAAAAACAACTGATATGTCAGTCAGGTTCTGGTTTGTATACAGTACATTATATAGTGTTTGAATATATACTATGAATATATACATTCGTATACCATGAATGGAGGTCTTTTCCAGGCTTTGGCCATGTTTGAACAGCACTATTTATGGTAGACTGCACTAAAATAGCTCCCTTGACCTATGCATATGAAGGAGAATCTGTTCCTAGAAAGCAGTCTGTGTAGATGGACCAGTTTGTTAGAGTTTGTACCTCTATAATGTCTGAAAGTGGTCTGTGCAGATGGGCCAGTTTGTTACAGAAAGTACCTCTATAATGTTGGAGTCCACGAATCCTGGCAGTCTTTCGTCCTTGCAGATCACCCCAGCATCTTCATCATGAGTGCAGTCACTGTTGCCCCATCCACGTGACTTACACACTGATATACTTCTCTCACTGCCACTGCACTGCACGTTATCTAACCAGATCTTACCTGAAACACATACAAACATGGGACTAAATGCACTCATATGCTATCTGTTTGTGACAATATTTGAACTCTATTTTAGAAATGTTACCTGTGCCTTTGCCATATTTGGCACTATGTGCCCAGCCAGTGGCAGAGACAAACCCAAGCTGGCGACAGAGCACATGGGCATTTCCCAGTGAGAAGTCATCATCACAGATGGTTCCCCACTCGCCTTTATAGAACACTTCTATTCGACCCTCATTGTGTTTCCGAGGGTGACCAGCCAGGCGAAACTTCAGACGTTCAGGGGACTGGGGTGTTGGCGTGGGACTCAGGTGTACAGAAGTCGTTGTCTGAGCAAGGAGTGACGGAAACCAAACGGCAACAAATATGATGACTATGTGTTGCCACCTCTGAGACTGCTCCATCGCTAAGCCTGCAGGGATGAAATGTGAGAATACCAGTGAATATCTGTGTGAATCTGGGTCTTTGTGGAAGACTGATGTGAGCCAGCTGTCTGTAGTTTAGAAAAGCAAATAAACTGGCCAAAGGGATGAGCCACTGGCACTGTGTAACTAACATACACTTACTGTGTGTACAGTATGTGTATTTTCTTGACCATCTGTTTGGGTGAGAAGATTAGTCAAATTCAGCATCTCAGTGAGGCGCCACATTCATTAGGCATATGAAAATAAGCTCTAACCTTTGAACTTTCACCTATGTGACCTAGTATGCCTTGGGCATAGTGCAAAATGCAAGGCACATGTCTAACGAGGCTGGACCTGAGAAAACAATGTTGGCCCTCTTTGTTCACTCAAGAACAGACTGTCTGACCGCAATACACCCTCACCGGTGCTAAGAGATTAACAATATACTGGGTGAACAATACTGGAATTGTAGTGCTTTTATTCATAGCTCCCTCTGTTTTAGAGGACAGTGGATAATTGAGCAATTAAGACACTTTAACATCATCTTAAACTGATCTACAGATATTTAGAATATTTAGAACTTGCAGTCGATGACTGCTTAAAGTCTGTGACCCCTAGGCATCATTTGACAACAGTAGACTTCTGGTAGTGCTCTACAAGGCCTCTGATGCAGCTGTATTTCAGTTCTTCTTTGTTTTGATGGATTTTTGTCTTAAATTCTGTCTTGCGAAGAGGGACTCATACTGAGTTACTCACTAGGCCAGCAAAGAACAATTGATTTCTAGTGCTGAAAAATTCCATAGTTGCTTTAGGTTTCGTGCCCAGGTCGTTTGCTAGTGTTAAGCTCTTCCTCCTGCTTGGCCAAAAAAAAAACATTTTGAAAATGGTCGCCAAAGCCGGGGGGGGCGATTAACTGAATATAGATATAAAAACTCTAGAGAGTAAAGCTGACATTTGACACCATAATAGCAAAACTTGTCACTGTCCACTAAATTAGGAACTGGGTTATCTTGGGCCTCATGCTTAGCTCAATATAAAAATAAATAAATAAAAATGAGTTTCAATGACAATGTGTTACATACACATCGTCTATGCCTTTAGCACTGCTTCAACACATTTCATATAATGCATACACTGGGCTGTTGGATGTCCACATGTAGATATATGTGTAGTCCATGTATGGCTGTAAGTAAATAACAGCAGACACCCAACCATAAGAGTCTGAAAGCATAGTCTAGATTTTGCATAATTATGAGCAAAACTCAAGTAGGCTTTTAAAAACTGAGAAAAATTATTCTTTTAACCATGTGCAGAGAACCATGCACAACACTATTTTGAGAACACTTGGCAAAAAAAGACTGATATAGATCTTTTCAAGGAATCAGTGGAATTTCACTCAAAGTTAGAGCTAGACTGACTGGTGGGGCACTGTGACCCTTGTGGTAAAGAGGACAGTAGAGCCTAGACTCTTTACTTACTTATTAACTTAATCATGATCTGTGCTTTACAACCACAGGAACAGATGGAAATGTCTGAAATCATAACGCCATACAGACTAAAATGGTGGCACATCACTACATCTATACATGTGTACTCATATATACGACCATATGTGGTGGACAGTAAAACAGATCATTTCCAAACCTCAGCAGACCATGGAGCCAGTAAACAGGGGTAGAGGCCTATAAGGGAAACTGGAAACAGGCCCAGAGAAAATGCAGACACACAGTGCTCAAATATGGCTCATGCTTCATTAATATAAATCAACTGGATCTGCTGCAGAGTTCAAACATTTATTAATAATAATATATATATATATTAAGGGAATTAATGTACATACATGACTTTGGATCTGGCCTGCAACTGTCATTAAAAACTTTTTTACTGTCATAAAAATACCTTAGTAACACTGGACAGTGAAATGAACCCTGGATGTTTTTAAGTACTTAATTACCAGCCCTGGCTCAGTTACTGTTAGGCGGTAAGATTAGACATTTATTGTGGTCACTCCTCTCGCCGGTTTGCCATGTTGTATCCAGGACAGCAATTAAAAAGAGAAAGTAAGAAAAATGAAGGAAACCAAGAAAAAAAACGCCTTGGACGAAATCGTGAACTTCATCCAGCTCAAAGTCAGCCAAGTGAAAAAAGACAAAAACTCAAAACAATAGGGGTTTACCGACCAGATAAGGAGAGGCGGCTTTTTAAAGTCAAATACAAACATTCCTGTAGAAGTCTACGTGTCGTCCAGCTCCGATACTGATATCAGAGCCTGCCTGCTCTCGTTATACGGACCGTTATTCGAGAAAATATTTGAGTTGCTTTTTGCACACAGACAGAGAAGCATATTAACAAGCGAAATACTACAATGCGCGCCGTGATGAACTTTGGGTCCTACCTTCAACGCCTCGAGCTGATCGATCTTTTTGCCCAGTTTTGATCAAATTCCTGAGGATGCGGGCTGGTCTTCTTCAACAGACTCGGAAACAGAAAGTCATGGAAACTCCTGCAGAAAGCTCTGCATGCCTGCTTTACGAGCTCGGCTTCCACAGCGTATATGAGGCTCCTAATAATGACCAAAAATGAGTTTGGGTTTAAAGGCGAAACTGAGAAGAGAGGGGCTGAAGGAGAGGAGGAGCCCACTCGAGGCCGACCTCACACGACTGAGAGGGGGCTGGATTTTCCTCCGAGAGCACACACTGTCTCTTTCACCGGTAAGGAAACGGTTTTTCCATTTTTCCACTTGCGTGCCGAGACTCACGTTCTTAAACAGTTCTTCAATCATGGACAGCTTCAGTTTGAGATCTAACAGTGAAATATAAGTGATACTGTACTGTAAAATCCGCCAGATACTGGCATGCCTTATAAAGTTTGTATTGAGTACACAGTCTACACACAAAGACAGCACTGCATACCCCAAGAGCTGGGTAAATATGAGGAGCCCAGAACATATTTTTAAAAAGTTTATTACAAAAAAACAAAAAAAACCCCAAACAAAACAAACAAAAAAAAACAAACAAACACACACACACACAAAAAAACAAAAACAAAAACAAAAAAAACAGACATGGAAAAAAGTACAAAGGTGGTTCTGGTTTGTACTCTAAGTACCTCTAAAGATGGACAAATATATCTAACAAGATTGTCTCTTACTCAGGCACTTTTAAGGCTACCTATAACAACAATAACTGAAGTATAATGACTGTATAAAGACTGTATTTTACATCACATCAAGCACAATTTAAAACAAAAAGCAACCTTTCCAATGGTTTCAGGAATTAAATGAAGGAACTGACAACAGTGGGCTGATCAGCACTGTGAGGTAAAATCATAACCAAATTTGAAACAAACAGCTGGACCACAACCCTGGTACCGTCTTCTTGAGAAAACATTTTAAATCTATCGTGAATTAAAGCTAAAGCTGTAATCAAACACAGCTACAAGTGTTTTTCCCCCCAGTTAGGTGCAAATCACAGGTTTACAGTGAGAAAAACTTGATAACGTTCACCTCTACATTTTAAATCGGTATATTGTTATTTTTGGGTTTCCACTGTGATATGTCGAAACATATTTAGTGCGTTAGTATGTACTGATGAGGAAAAAAAACAAAAAACAAAGAAAAACAAAAAAAAACAAAAAAAAACAACAAAAAAAAAACAGTACAGCCCTTTCTGGAAAACTAATGAATATACAATTGAGAAGCATGAATGGTCTTATGGTTGAACTGGCTGTGTTCCATACTTAAAAGACTACAACAAAAATAACTGTAAATGTATCTCAAACTCAAACATTTACATTCCGAAGTTGAAGAAAAAGAAACCTACAAATATAAAAGGTCCGTATGAATGCCTTCTGAGCATATGAAACATTGTCTCATTTATGGGCCTCGCTATAAACAAAGTATTGACTGGCCTGACTTGGTCTCTTTGAGCTCTTATTCAAGAGTTGATGTATGAGAATAAGTTGATCTGATGCATATGCAAGGTATTATAACTGTGTAACAATTATAACACAGCATGTGTTCCTTTGTAAAGCCATTTTGTACTAACATGGCTTTAAAAAAACGTTAGGACAGACTGCAATAAAAGTTGTTTGTGGCTAAAGAATAAAGGCTATAAAGTGAATCTTGCTGACTAGTGCTAATAACCAAGCTCACAATGTAGGCAGTTGGCCATACAGATCCAAAAGACATGGCCAAAGGATGTAACATACACCTGAGTTTTACATGCAGCATCTCCTAACAAACAGAGCTAGACATGACTAAGCTACACATGGCTTAGGACATGAAGGAGAAATATTAGATTTCATTAATGATAAAGATTACATATCCTCATGGTCAGTCACTAAAGGCATCTGTGGTAAACTTCCAAAGTTACTGGGATTTTTGGTAGGAGCGATGACCTGAGGTGTTTACAATGATCTGTGATGATCAGGCTGAATTCGACAATTCCAACAGTGCTCCGACAGCACCAAAATATCCCTGAAACACGTACAGAAAGGTCACTCATTCCTTAGATGTCATTTATTTTGCATATTTTGCCTAATGCAGTGATTCTCATTCCTGGTTCCAGAGCAACACTGCCCTCCATATTTGGATCACATCTGATCCATCTAATGAAATAATTAATAAGACCATGAGTTGAAATGGGTGTGTAAGAGCAGGAAAAACGCTACAACATGTAGGGCAGTATTCCAGGACCAAGACTGAGAACCACTGTCTGGCTTTGCTGATAAGTTTAAAGCAAAGACAGACACAAACACATACCTCATGTCTAAGGAACAGAGCTTTGAGTTGTCCTTTACTCCAGTAGTCCAAAGCATAAGCCAACAACTTCATGGATAACGTATTCACCCGCAAGAAGTTCCCAACAAACACCACTCTCTCAATGTTCTAAATAGGAAACACACATTAGAAAACATACCCTCTGAGCAAAGTTCCTTCGGTAATCCAGACTCAAGAGCAGGCATGTCAAACTGGGTCCCTTCTGGGCAACAGGACTGCTGATATTAGAGTTTTCCCTCATCTGACACTCCAAATTAATCTACAAAGGTCTTGCTAAATAAGATGGTGAGTAGAATCTGGTGTGTTGAATAAAGCAGAACACTGAAGCCTACAGGGCTGCAGCCCTTAAGGACTCGAGTCTGACATGTGCTCTAGAGGATACAGGATAAAGGCTTGTGTACAAGGTAAAGAGTTGTCTACTGTACTATGGTGCAGTATGAATGTTTTAAGACGTTCCAAGTTTAAGATGGGAGAATTGTTGCTCCATGACAAGCTGCTTGGACCCTGGTCACTCATAGCCCTGTACAATGCTGCTTGATCCAGATTCCACAAGGCAGCACCGTAAAGAGGCTGAGAGACCAGCGTAAGGACAAAATAAAAGGAAGAACAAAAAAGAGTGAAATTTATTAGTACATGACCAGGTGAATTCCATACCTCGTTAAGTGCACACATGCGTGTGATTGAACCAATGTTGTTTGTTATAGTAACAAGTGTAGCTCTGGCCAGGTCTTCTTTTGAGACAGAATCTCTCTTCTCCTTGCACATCATGTTCCCAAAACTGAAACGCATACAAATTGCACATCTGTATTAATAACATTTACTACTCATAAAGTGCTACCCTGTAACACAGCAAAAACATCAAGATTTCAAAACTTATCCCAATTTGGCTTATGAGGTATTACGCTTCTGTTTACTGTGGTGAATACTCCATCATTAATACAGCTGCTTGCTTTGTATCATTTTGTTTGTTTTGACAAAACAACATTTATTTCAAGACTGTCAAGCTAACATATGTCTGCCAGTTTTGCATTTTTTGCATCTAGTTCAAATAAGCCATGTTTTTCTTATGTCACCAACCTCTAATTATCCTACAACTTACCCTCATTCTCACATTATATTTTACATTTATTTAAGGAAATGACGCTATATGTCAATCTTGTTTTGTCGCTCATTTAAGTATGATAAATAAGTCAGGAAGTTGTCAGTTTGTATGTTTATGAGAAACATTGTAACGTACATACCTAGAGGCCACTGCCCATCCTGGCAATCCAAATCTTTCATAGTCACCCCCGTAGATATCTCTAACCAGCTTGTCCACACGAGTGCTTTCCCCCTTTGAGGCCATTTCCAATGCATCTTCAAAGGTGGAGCAGCCAGTCAGCAAACAGCACAGGCCCAGGAAAGTACCACCACCCAAGCTGCAAAGTAGAAGAAAAAATAACCACATATGCTGATAATATCCTACTTGATGCTAAGATAGTCTTTGTTATGTATTTAAATAACTCATTTGTATGTCTTCTTTATGCCCTGACTGACCTGGTGCCTGTGACACGTTTGTAGTTGTCTTTGGAGTAGACGGCCAGAATGCTGACCCCTGAGCCGATGTTCACCAGCAGCAGAGGGTAAGGATTCTCCAGATTGTAGGCTTTTTGCTGGCAGCGCTCTGGGTCTGTAGGGTTCTCATAATAGTAACACTCAGGAGGTCCAACTGAGACAACTGAGTCGATGTACAGGACACCCTTAATCAGACAGTCCAACTCATCCAGCTTCAGCAACTGCAGGTTTGCCATCTTAGAAAGAAGAGGCAGGGCAGGTTCCAATTTATTGAAGGAAGCTGCACTGGCACATAAAGCACATGGCTACAATCTAAGCTGCAGGTGTGTAGGCATTTATAGGAGAACAAAAGAGTGTGCGTGTGTGTGCGCGCTACGCACTGTGCGGAAGTCGGCCTCAAACTTGTATGCCCCACCGCCGGTGGCGCAGAGTGTGGTGTGCAGGCTGGAAAAGTGTTTGTCCCGGCCCATCTGCAGGAAAGCGGGGAGCTCATGGGTTGGGAAGCGGATGAAGTGCATACAGCCCCTGCGGCCCCACAAGGTGAGGTCTGGCAGCTCCAGATGCACATCTCTTATGCCCGTTTTGCCATAGGCTGTGTGTGAGGTGAGGTAACGACGGATGCTTTTCAGACTCTCAACCTCCTCCAGCTCTTCCTCTGCTGTGATGTCTTTGGGCTCAAAGTAGACCAGCTTAACCAGTGTACCACCTATATCCATGCCAAACCATGGGAAAGCTGTAGGGCCAATAACATACACAATATTACATAAATGTGTACTGTGTGTATAGTAGGGAGACACAGATTGGAATCAGTCAAGATCATAATTGGCAGATTTTTGCTCAAAATATGAAATCAGCAATCAGCAAATTAATTGTTTTTATTCTGGCTGATCTGGGTTGCAATTTTGTGACATAAATAACAGCCATAAATAACACTGCTGCTACACCAGTACCAAAATGTCAGCATATTATGCATGACTCATTGTGCTAAATAGCCAGTTGCCTTTTATATCTGATAGGTGTTGCCCTTTTTTGATTTACCTTATTTAAAAAGGCAACTGATTTACATATGAAAAAAATACCAGTTTGGCCCATTAAAGAGCAAATGTTATTTATATTGCAAGTTTGGCTAGTAAAAAAACCTGGAAATGTGTGTTTTGTGTGTTCATTTACCCCAAACAGTGTGAGCTCTAGAGAGGAAAGGGCTCATAAAAATAACACAAAAATAATTAACGAAAAGAAATCAGAATTGGAATTGGCTATTAAAATTCATGATCTGTGCATCCCAAGTAGACAGTATAAAAGCTGTACATTATGCTGAACAAGACACAAAACATCTGTAAGACAACAGTTTTTGGGACTTCTGAAGCAGCAGACCAATGACTGATATTTGAGTATTTAAAATCTGGAGGCAAAACCAAACACCTTCCCATGAATATCACTTCTGCAGAGGTACATCTAGAAAGGATCACACAACCTTATAATTTTATGACTCATTCATGTGATGCTGATGTATATTTTTGACGAAACTGACTTTCCTATTTTAGATTGCCTACGTATTTGCATTAATTACGGCCCTTTATGCAACGTGTAGTGCGTTTCATGGCATTAGATGGTCTGTATCCAATTCTCTGGCTAACTAGCTAGGTTACAGTATTTAAATGATAGCTATGATGATGCATGAGTGTACACCATGGGCGTAGCCCTGCCTGGGCACTTCCACTATGTTAAAATTTCATTTTATTGTAAATGTTGGCTTTCCTAAGGTATGTTAATCCAGATACACTTGCTACACGATGATTAAAACTACTGACATTGGGCTTAGGTGTGCACATACTAACATCCAAGTTAAACATGGGCGCTCGTTAGCGGATATTTGGCTAATAAATGTCTGATTTACTTAGCTAGCTAGTTAGCTAGCTAAGCTAAGCTAGCTGCTATCTAGTTAGCTCTCTTTATCTTTAGCAAACGTTAACGTTATCTTTCTGAACTGAGGCAAAATAATTCACAAGCTTGTTATTTTGTCATTTTTTTTTCTTTGATAAAATACACAAATGTGACCAGAGAAACTAAAAACACAATTGTCGCGTATTACAACAACGGCTAAATGAAGCTGTTTTATTAGCACAGACTCTGTTTAATTAGCTGGCTCTCTCCGCTTCGGGTTCATTGTGAGAGGTAGCAGCCCGTTAGCGCCATAAAATGGGACACCTACGCGGCCTGTTTTTCCTCAGCGAGTCGGTCCTCTGTCTCGCCGAGGTCGAGTTAGATATCCTCCGCTCTCTGTGGGCGGGTCCACCGGCCGCAGCCTTCTCCATACTCTCGGCAGCAGCCAAGCTACATGGCGCCTCGACCACCGAGCGGACCTGCATCGGCCCCGTTGTGTCCTCATCTTCGGCTTCCCCACAACCCTCCCCATCACAGTGGTAGCCATTCAACTCCATAACGGACGTGTACAGAGCTTCCCGGGGGCCTTTGAAACGACAAACACAGTATTAAAAGCTGATAAAATCGTACGCATTTTATCTGAGTGCTGCCCAGAATCATTGGCGAACCACGTCACTGCTCTGTGTTTACAACCCAAGCTCCACATCCGTGATTGGCCAAAGGAGGTGTCCGTCAACGTCAAGCCCAATCACATTCCGCTGGACCAATCAGCCTCCTAGGCAGTAGCGACTCGAGTCACCGATTGTCTCATTCGCCAAAACGGGGAAGTATTGTGATGACTACAGTGATTGTCAAGACTCACTAACGTTAAATGGCCAAAGGTATGTTGACACCTGACCATCACACGTATATGAGCTTGTTGGACATCCCTTTCTGAAACCATGGGACATTAAAATGGAGTTGGCCCTACTTGGCAGCTCTAATAGCCTCCACTCTTCTGGGGAGGTTTTCCACAAGATCTTGGAGTGTGTCTGTAGGAATTTGTGCCCATTCAGTCAAAAAAGCCTTTGTGAGGTCTGATTTTGGAACTGATTTTGGACGATTTTGGAACTGATTTTGGACAAAAACGCCTGGCTTGAAACCAATGTCCCAGTTCACCTCAAAAGGTGTTCAGTGGGCAGCAAGGCAGAAATTTCACAAACAGACTTGTGGCAAAGGTGGCATCATATGACATTGCCCCAGTCACTAAGGTCTTTAGTGCGACCCATTCTACTACAAATTTATGTCTGTGGAGAATAAATGGCTCTGTGCTTGACTTTATACACCTCTTAGGGTGTGTCTGAAACACCTGATTTGCAAACTTTAACATTTCTCAGTTTAGTTTTATGTCCTGGAGACTAAATTATAAACGTTGGCTATACCAGTAGATTTACCTTAACATTTATTAATGTTTTTTTAAGAACTATTTGGATAAGTAGTTCAGACCATGAATATTATAGAACAAACCTCAGAGATTACTATATGGCCTTACACTGAGTAGAAAATGTGTTGTGTGGGTCTCGTTGTTAAGGCCTTAAGCATTAATGTGTATTTCATATTTCAGATCAGAAAACATCTGAAATAGAGACTATTCTGAATTTTGCAAGAATTTACTTTCATTACCTGGCTTTCTGTCATCACAACAGACAAACATCAAGTTTTTACTGAACAATGTCAGAGGAAGAGCATTACTCTCAGTTAAGCACAGATAGTGGCTGCCAGTCTTATTAAAATAACACAGAAAAATAAAATATCACAGCATCAATGCTAATCTCAAATGATCTGTGGTTTTTATCGTTCCTCTATTTCCATCCCATGTGTCTCAAATTTTTCCCAAAACTTCGTAATTTTTTGTGACCATGCTTAGTGCATAATGGGAAGCGTAACAGGTTTATTGTGATGTACGTCATGTCACAATTTGTTTTGTAGATTTAGTACAATTTTCACGTCTTGAAATAGAACATTTTTTCCCCCATTTGTGTTTTTGTTCATTTAACAGACACATATCATATTTCCCAAAATACCGTTTTTATTTGATGGACAATTTTTCGGCAATTACAAGAGTTTCAGAAAGAAATAGGCAAATGCATATGAAATTTAGCCTACATGCAAGGATAAAACATAAAAGCTCAAGCATGACTCTACCTGAAGAAACAGCAGTTCCCATTTTAAAGTGCTTCAAGTTTAAATATTTACATAAGCTATAGAAATTGGTAGATTGTGTCTGAATGGTAACAGCATAGCGAATTTAGTCCATACTATAATTATTAAAACACTTAAGTCTAAGGTCAGGGCAATTTTAAAACAACTCTATAAGGACACTTTCTGCTACAACTCCGTTTCCAAAAAGTTGGGACGCTGTGTAAAATGTAAATAAAAACAGAATACAATAATGTGCAAATTATTTAAACCCTATATTTAATTGAAAATAGTAAAAAAACAACATATCAAATGTGAACCTTTCAAAAAAGTTGGGATGGGGCAACAAAAGACAGGTAAAGCGGTGTAATTCTAAAAAAAAAACACATGGTGGAACATCTCACAACTAATTATGTTAATTGGGAACACGTCAGTAACATGATTGGGTATGAAAAGAGCATCCCAAAGAGGCTGAGTCTTTCAGAAGTAAAGATGGGGAGGGGTTCACCACTCTGTGAAAGACTATTTGTACCAAAAACCATTACTAGCTGGCTGTGATCTTCAGGCCCTCAGGTGGCACTGCATTAAAAACAGACAAGAGTCTGTGGTGGAAATCAACCATTCAACCAATCAACAACCATTGTCTGTGACCACAGTTCATTGCTGCATCCACAAATGCAAGTTAAAATTCTACTCTAGGATTCAGAAACGCCACCGCATTCTCAGGGCCAGAGCTCATTTAAGATGGACTGAGGTGAAGTGGAGTGACCTGTGGTCCGACAAATCGAAACTTAAAATTATTTTTTGAAATTACGGACGCCGCGTTGTCTGGGCTAAAGATGGGTGAGTTTTCTGCGAACAGTTCCAAAGCCAGCATCTGTGAAGGTACGGGGAGCTTTATTGCACATGACATAAGTGACTTACACACCTGTGAAGGCATTGTTAATGCTGAACTACACATACAGGTTTTGGAGCAACATACGCTACCATACAGATTATGTCTTTTTCAAGGAAGGCCATGCTTATTTCAGCAAGACAATGCCAAACCACATTCTGTACGTATTACAACAGCATGGCTCCACAGTAAAAGCGTTTGGGTGCTAAACTGGCCGGCCTGTAGTCCAGTCCTGTCACTCATTGAAAACATTTGGCACATTATGAAATGAAAAATACATTAAAGGAGACCCCAAACCTTTAAGCAGTTGAATCCTTTATCAAGCAAGAATGGGAAAACATTTTACTTACAAAACTTAACTACTGCAATTGGTCTCCTCAGTTCACAAATGTTTATAGAGTGTTATTAAAAGAAGAGGTGATGCAATGCGTGGTAAACATGCCCCTGTCCCAACTTTTTTGAAATGTGTTGCTGGCATCACATTCAAAATCAGCATGTATTTTACAAAAAACAATAAAAAATTCAAAGTTTAAACATTTAATGTGTTGTCTTTGTACTATTTTCAGTGAAATTTACGGTCTAAATAATTTATACATTATTGCACTGTTTTTATTTATATTTTGCACAGTGTCCCAACTTTTTCGAAAACACAAACTCTTAACACTTAATAAAGACCTTTCCTTTGGAAAGGTTGACAAACACCACACACAGTATTACCTCTACACATAATAATATAATCTGACTCATACTTGGCTCGTATCCATTTCTTTACAAGTATAATGCACTGAAAATGTATCAAGATCTATGATGTTGATTATTAACATCACATCCTGAAGAGTTCTAGACACTAATTAGACATTATCAAAATAGTGTAGCACACTGAGATAAACAGATGCTGTTTACCACCATGCGGTTACACAGCTAATACACTTAGGTCTGTCTGCAACAATGTCTGCAACAAAGGTCAACACCAAAAAGGTTTCCACTATTCTACAGAGTCTCTGCCATTTACAATAAAGAGTTCTGGAAAAGTTCTTCTTGGGGCTTGTAAGGCAAGTTCAGGGTAAAAACATTAAAATGCAAAACACAATTTTGCACACCAAATGATCATTTCCATTTAAACTTGGCTCTGTGCACTGTAAAGATCTAATACCATGATACTACACTGGTAAATCACAACTTGGCACCAACCATGATGTGAAGCACAAATAAAACAAAGCCAATATAATTATAATATTATATACATTCTTGAACTTCACAAAGAGAGAGAGCTAGGGCACATGAGCTTACAGTTATGATGTTTAATGATGATATTGAGGGAACTAGGAACAAAGCATTGGCTACATATGCTTAGCATTAGGGTTAGTGCTAACGTTAGCACCATCTCAAAAACGATTTTGCAAAGGCCCAAAGGAAACATCAGGATTGTATTAATTGGAAGTGATGGATAAGAGGACACAGGTGAATTGCAAGAGGAGGTAGAGAAGGGAAGACCATGATCATATATATATATATATATATATATATATATCACAATAAAGTGTCTTTGAGAAAACTGTTGCATCCTCAATCAAATTCAGTTAAGTGCTGCACAGCTGCAAGAGCTATTATCTACTATCTGTCTTCATGCTCTAAATAATTCATGCTGACATAAGACATTTTGGGGCAAAGTTCACAGGTACTTCTTAACTCTACATGTTTTTCTCTATAAGGACACCTAATGGTTCTACATGGAGTTTTACATGAGCACAGTCCCTTCCCCATGAATTAGATATAATGAGAAAAAACTAATCATTTCTGAAAAGAAGGTTCCCTGAATAACATTTACAGGTTAATCAACAGTGTACAATGTAGCGTCAGTGCAACAAGAGTCATAAAAAGTGGAGGTTTTGTGAAGCAGTAGAGACGAAGCTGACTGCATGATGCATGTGTCTAATCCTAATAATAATAATTAGGATCTCTGCTTGATCTTAACAGGTACAGGACTGATTTCCGGAAATCACTTATCACAAAACTTGGTCAGTTATTGATCAAATATAATATAAATAAAACATGGCTGCAATATAGACTACTGTAGTTGTGCATCATTCTGTAGTCCTCGTTATGCCCATGTTAGGAACTCCGGGTCTAAGCTCCATTTTTCTATGGCCAGAATGAATGGGGGTTTTCAAAAATCACCTCTATCGCACCCTGTGTTAAATAAAAAGGTTCAGAACCCGATACGTTTTGTCCTGTGAACATTTTTCTCTCGAATACCACTGGATCCTCTGAATTATGAGGTTGTTAACGAGGTGAAATATGAGTATTGCTACATGTGAGCTAAAGCTACTGCGCACTGAATGACGCCATTAGACTGACAGTCTCCTTAAGCGGGTTTTGGTAGCGTACATTTCCATGTTCAGACTGAGGGCAGATTAAACGAAGTCAGAAAGAAATCAGCAGGTTTTCCTGCAGTTCTCTGTTCTTCATCTGATGCTCACTGAAACACGACTGATCTACAGAAAGATCTACAAACGTACCTGCACTCAGGCTAGTCCAGTAGCTCTCAGAATATCCTAATTATTACTTTAATGCTGGAAACATTTTCTGAGGACATTCGACTCGACTTTTTTTCTCGTTCCACCTTAAACGGTGCAGCAGTCACGTTCTGAACTGCTGCGCCATTTAAGGTGGAACGGGAAAATTCAAACAAGCAGCCGGCGAAAAAGCTGACTTTAGCTTCATGGAAGGTTGAAAGTCATGATATGAGGAGGTTTCTCTATTTCCACTTAACAGCTGAGTAACATGAACTTATGTTTGCTATTTCACCGAACTAACAGGTCAGTATTTTGTCTTGTTTGCTTATGTTCGTGATAGCTAGTCACAGCTGCTGCACCGTTTAAGGTGGAACGGGAGCATTAAAACAAGAAGCTGATGGAAAAAGAAGCTAAATTCAGCCTCGTAGTTTTAACACTGGTAGTATTTTTTGACAAGTTGTTTTAGCCTATCAAAATATCTTACCTAGAGGTTTTATTTACGGGTATACACGTAAATATGCGCTACAGCAGAACATTTCGATAAAGTATCACAGCCATAGCCTGCCTTAGGTTTGTGTAGCTTAGTGACATCAAATTGATGCGTAGTAGCTTTAGCTCACGTGTAGCAATACTAGTATTATAGCTCTTTACGACCTTGTAATTCGGAGGATCCAGCGGTATTCGGGGAAAAAAAAGTGCACAGGACAAAACGTTTCAGTTCTGCACATTTTTTATTTAACACAGGGTGCAAAAGAGGCGATTTTTTTTGGAAAACCCTATACATTCTGGCCATAGAGACATGGAGCATAGACCCGGAGTTCCTAATATGGCCATAAGAGCATGGCGCCGACTACAAAATGACGACACGACCACAGTGGTCTGTACCAAGGGGCAGCCTTAAGTTAAGATACTTCGTTGCTTTATCAAGGCAGCAGTGGTGGCATACAGTTAGAAGTTGGTATGCAGTCCCGCTCCCGTGTTAGTGCTTGAGCTTCCAGGCCATGGCCAAGATAGCCACGCCAACAGCTGCTGTAGCTGCAATAAGGCGTGGGTCACGCTGAAGTTGGGACAGCACTCCTTGGGACTTTTCTGCCTCTTCTCTCTGCTCTGATTTAGGGGGGTTCATCAGCCTTGAAGAATTGAATCCCAACTCCTGGTATGTAGAAGTGGCAGCAGGACTGGCATGACCCTCATTTCTCTGTGTGCACTGTGCGATGCCCTGGTTCTGCAGGGTTTTAGGCTGATCTTCAGACACGACAGACTGAAGAGGACTCTCAGCTTGGGTAGCGCGGTTTAGGTTTACTTCTTTATTATTTGGGCGAACTGAAATACCAATCATGCTTGGAGGCTGTCCATTGAGATTTAGAATTGATGGCTCCTCAGAAACCTGGACAACATTCACCAATGTCCCTGGCTCTGCCTGCAAACTCTGAGAGAAAGACTCATAATGGTCCTCCACTGGCTGATTATGAGAGAAAGCAGCATCTCCTTCTGGAAAGCTGTTTTCCTCTGGAGTAGAGTGTGGAACTAGATTTTCAGCAGCAGCTGTGAGATCAGATACTGGAACAGGCTCTGTTGGTACTTCCACATGCTCAGGGGGAGAGTGCTGGGAGTCTTGCGTTATGGAAGAGCTGGTGATCCCTGCGGTGGAACGGCTGAACATTAATTCATTAGAAGTGACTGAGCAGGGCTCCTCTGATTGTTCCTCGGGCTGCGGGTGTCTGGACACAGGTGCAGGTCTGATTGGTTGCACTGGTGAAGAGCCTGCGGTCACTGTTGGGGGACGGCTGATCTGGAGATCATCATAACTTTCCAAGGAGGGCTCCATTAGAGTGCCAGGCTTGCTGAAATACTCCTCGTGTATTGCAGCTGTATGGGACAGGAGACCGGCAACTGCATCATTAGATGCTGAAGGTAAAACCTGTGCTGTTTCTGGAGATGCTGCCGGAGCCTGGGAGTTTTGCAACACTGTGGTCTGTACTGTCTCCAAAAACTGCAGATAAAATAAAGTAAGGATTGGTTAATATGCTGCAGAACGCAAATATTACATGCTAATAATGAATTTCTTAGGGCTTGTCTGAATATTTCAAACACTCGCATAGTTGTCGTTATAATATTCAGTTCTCTATTTAGTATTTGGAAGCTTAGTCTTTTTTAAGCCATAAAAACTGTAGCCTAAAATAAATTTCATCAGCAAAGGCATCATAAATTTTTTCAGAATGCATCATAAATTCACGCCAGGCTTGCCACATCACCTCGCCACAAACTGCACCACTCTCTACATGGCCATTATGACTAAAAGAGCAGAGATGCCTGAGAATTCACAAGTTGAAAGCACTTTAAATTATCGAATGACAAGAAAAATGCTAAATGATAAGAGGTTGGTACATCATGGATGCACAACATGTTTGATGAATTGTCTTATATGTAAGTACAGAAATCTTTATCTGAGTACCACCATGTGTTCAATCCACACTGCCTTCAACTTAGCTCCATCACATAACCGCTTCAGACAGGAATAACTGTTCTTGTTTCCTTTTCTTTTCTAATAAAATGGTTTTACAGCACAAAGGGATATGTTCACTTCGACAATATCAAAATCAACAAGTTTTTGCCGCTGCATCAGAAGAGTAGCCTCCACACCACTCCACATTAGTACCATACCAACAAGATCATAGAAACAACACTATCCTGCCACAAAAAAAAGTAGGATGCTACTGTTGAGGTTATTGGACGCAGTCTGCTCCAGTTACAAAACACACATCACAGTATGAAGGAATTACAAGTAAACATTTTGTTTATGTCTTTGCACTAGTTTTTATTCTCTCAGGGCAAGCTCATAAAAATCTTTAAATTTTATGCTTTGTCATGTTGTGATCTTTTCATGTCGTAGGTCAAATTACTTTTTACAAGGAGGTTAAACTGTAAGGGGTCATACATGGGTCCCCATTCAGTTCCAATCACAACTATATATCTTGTATATTAGCTGCAAATTAGTTACCAAATAATTTACAGTAGTTGTTAAATAATAAGCTTGCAGTTTAAGGTTAAGAAGGTTAATCTTCTTATACTGGTAAGTGAGTGTATTACCTGACTGACAGTTGCGTTGGTGTTTGAGTTCTGTTCTAAGACAGTCTCGTTCTCTGGAGGACTGGTGTCTTGAATGGGATGCTTCACAGAGGTGGAGCTCTCAGCAACTGCCAGTGGTATTTTGCTCTCCTCATGTGAAGCAGGAGGCTGGCAAGAGGTGCTGAGTGTGTTGGGCTGGGATGGGGAAGTGGTTACAGTGTTAGTAGAAAGGGAAGTAGCAGCAGCTGAGGATGCTTCGGAAACAGCCGTGAGAGTCAAGTCATCAGAGGAGTCTAAGGAGGGTGTTACTCCAGGGTTAAAAGAGACTTCATTTTGCTTAATAGAGGGGGTCACCTTGGAAGCAGAGACTGGAGAAGGAGGCTCTGCTTGGGGAGTTGACACTAGGGGTGAGGGTTCAGAAGGCTGGGCTGGTTCACGAGGAGGGGCCGCTGAAGCGTCTCGAGTTGGAACTGTAGCAGGTGGTTCTGCAGGGCCTGGGGCAGCTATGCTGGGAAGGGACTCTGGGGGAGAGTGGACAGGGACAGGAGCAGCTGCCTGAGCTGGGGCCTCCCCTGGAGAAGGGGTCAGCAAGGGAGGGATGGAGTGGGGGGCATTGTGGATTGTTGCTGTGGTAACTGTTGTTGCTGGAGATTGAGCTGGAGATGGAGTAGCAGCAGAAGTGGTGACAGGGACAGGGACAGGAGCAGGAGGAGAGGCGGTAGCAACAGCAGCGCTAACAGCAGGAGCTGGACCTGTAGCAGAAGCTGGACCTGAAGCAGAAGCAACAGCTGCAGGGGCTGTCCTCTGAGCTAAAGATGGGGGAAAAAAAGAGAAAACATTTACTGTATGTTAAAGAAGAAATTTGAAAATACTAGACCAGTGTTTCGCCTTGCACTGCATGGTTTTATGTTTCCCTATTGTAACACACCTGTTTCATATCATTAGTTCATTAATAGCCAATTTTTGTGCTGAGTTAGTTGTGTTAGAGCAGGGAAAAAACCTGTAAAACTATTCAGTGCAAGGGGCACCAAGAATGGTGGAACTCTTTATTAAACATAACACATTAGTTACACGTACAGGACTGTGTACAAGTCAGAGACCATCTTTTAATTGGTTTAATTTCCAGTCAAAACAGCCGTTAGGTCAAGTTACCAAATTTTTCAGCATCAAGAAAAAAAGCAGAAAATATTTAACAGAACATTACACAGACGACTCAACAAACTAAATATAATAACATTTTTAGTACTAAGTGTGTCTACTCTATGCCTTTTCACAGTTTCCATTCTTTTCAGGAGACTTGCTTTCAGTTTTCACAGAAATCAGCCATAAAAGTCGATGGCATTTTCTGCTTGTCATGATTCAGTTAATCCCAACAACAAATTTAGACACATCCATCCATAACACATTACTCTACATCTCAGATGTCCAGTTTTTGTGTGCAAATGTTCCTCTTTTTAGTCTATTTCCTTTTCTCAGTAACAGCCTCTTCACAGCTACACATGCTTTCAGTCTCATAGTGTTGAGCTGTCTTCTCACAGTGGAAGGATGGACAGAAACATCTGTGGATTTTATTCTGATCTGAAGCAAAAGTGGAGCTTGATTTTCTCCTCTCTCTCAAAGATGAAAGCTTTAAGTGCTGTTTATCTCTTGGTGACAGTTTTGGTGGTCTACAAGGTCTTGCATGGTTATTAGTCTCATTTCTCTATTTTTATAGATCTTTTGAACTCCAGTTTTGGTAACTCCTGTTTTTCACTCCTGTTCCTTTGACTCTCCCCTTCTTAATGCAAGCTTACATCTAATCTTCAAGGCAGCTAAGTTGTGTTTGGGTAGCAGTAGCTGCTTGTGTGAATGTTAGTGTCTCCTTGAAGGGGAACACAATGTGAATGACACCTTTTACTGAGAGGACATAGCCATAATTTGGTTTTAAGGTTGGAATGATGGAAGAGATAAAGTGGCAGCAGATGCACTAAAGTAAAGTGTGTAACATTTAAACACTGTTCAATTTGATATTAGTGTTGGAAACTAAGTTTCCTGTTTTTTTGACACCAAAATATTAATAACTTGTATCTAATAGCTGTTCTGACTGGAAGTTAAGTTAATGAAAGATTGGTCTCTGACTTCTGCACAGTGCTGTACATGGCTGTAAAAAACTCCTGTCTGGTGCAATAAATGTACATTTAATTTTCCTTAATATTATTGAACAGTTTGAATAATATGGGAAAATGTCTTACTGTTGATTCCCCTTATTCTGTCATAAGCATTGCCGATCTCATCAGCCAGAGCCAAATGCTCACAATCCCTCAGTGCAGCAATGAACTCTTCAGGCCAGTTCTCTCGTCTGCGCAGGCAATCCAGCAGCAATATCATAGCACTATAGTTTCCTGCATTTTCTCTCTTAGCCTCAATCTCCTCCTGCAAGATCAAACAGGATAGTGGTTGAAATAGCACATTGTTCAGAGGTGATGCATACTGCTAGCACTTTATCAGAAGCATTCTTTAAAGTTGTAAAAGAGGACTATTACCCGATCAGTAAGTGTGAGGCAGGGCAAGTACGGAATGATTTCTCTCACTTTGACTAGTGAAGCCAAACGAGCCATCATCCTCTTTATGACCTCATTATACAGCTTGTCACTCGCGTACGTCATCTTCACACTGACATGGAGAGAGGAAGAGAAGATGTTTGAGCAGGTGCTGACAGAATGGAAGTGTAAAGCATTTGTAATAAGTGAATATTAGTACCTTTAACCAAAACAGTCAGCACAGGTTTGTATTTTCTGGATGTGACTCTTTTTTCCTCGGCTCTCTGATGAAAGAGGAGAAGAAAACAAGATAATTCACTTAAACATCCATGTGGGACAAGTTTCATCAGTTGTCAGATTTCAGCACATTAGCAACTTCTGTTCAACAATAATACTGTAATGATTTGACAGAGCATCTTGATGGTATGATGTAGTGCAATCACTGCCTTTCACTAGAATGGCTGCCTCCTCTGTGCTAGGTGAGAGAATCTTCCCCTAGAAAGTGAAAATGAAGGTGCTGATGCTTTGGGAAATTCTACAGTTTCACTTTTGATTTACTGAAAAAAACAACATTACAAACCACGGACAAAAAAGACAATGCAAACCACATAAGATGATTGCACAGTACTAGTCCAAGTCACATTCATTTCCTCTAAAAGAAAACCCGTATGAGACAAACTTCCTTCAAGATGTGAAACCACTGCATGACAGCCTAACTGTCTTAATCAACTGGTTGCATCATCTCATGGACGATTCCCCTGAAATTCCCCTGCTTTTACATGAAGGCCAGGAAGCTTCCACCGGACTTAATACATAAGTTACTGGCTGCACACTTCATTAAAATTACACTGACACATAATATAGTTGCAATCCACCATCTGTGCAATGCTTTTTGCTGTCTACCCTTCTTTTGTCATTCAGCCCATATATTATGATGTCTTACCTACCTACAGGATGTAGCAGCTGTGCATCTCAGTTAATAAAGTTTATTTGTAAATTATACTAAGGCCTATTTAGCATTTTGAGTCATTGCAGTTATACTATGGCTGTGGCCAAACAAATGGTTTCAAACTACACCCACACATGTCTACAACACAGTCAAATATAGTGCAATACAGTGACCTTGAAAGGCAGCAAACCAACATTCATAAGGATCTCAGTGACATGATCTCAGCTGTAAGGACCTGGACATTACCCAGGTAGTAACCAATTAATGATCTCCAGACTTAGCTCTGAGCAAAGGCCTACTGTAGACAGAAAAAGTACAAAAGCCAACAGGAGTTTATGCAGTATTACAGACTCTTTTTTTAACCTTTCTGTCTTGTTATACTACAACACACAAAACTGCCAAAAAGTTCAAACTCAACATTTTGTGACTGACAACATGTTTTCAGGTTAGCAGAGATTTTTGTTTTGCAATGAACTGAACTGTGGCTCATTACAGTTTGGCTTGAGCAGATTATAACCAGTTTTCTATTACCATATGCACTAGAGGTGGGTGAAATGGAAAAATGTCATATCCTGATCCTGACAAGATGCGTCATTATATTTGTTTTTTCCCTGAGAAGTTTGAACAGACAAAGTAGTGCCACTTCTAAGAAAAGATAAAAAAAAATAATACAAATCTAAAGATCTGTATTCAACATTTAAATCCAATTAAACAGGACCACTTATGCTCTCGAATCAAAAATGCAGATGGGAAGTGTTTTTAAGCACTGATGATAGCCACGATATACTCAGGAAAGCATACTGTTGCATATTGTGACCATTTTTTATCACACTAAAGATAAATATTGTCATGTTGCCATGTGCCATGGTTTGTTAACTTCACACAGAAACCTGGGCATGTATGTGTGCGCTTTTATATTCGTGCCGCTATGAAAATCTTCTTACAAGCAACCAAATCGAGCATTATTGCCAATCTTGGTGTAATATCACATCACAGCAGGAACAGCTGAAGTCAAATGAAGACGGCCAAAGCCCTACTCTGTTTGTACTTAAACAACAGCTCAGCTAGTTTAATCTGTTAGGATTGTCAGTCAGATGGAACAGTGGGCTCTGACCGCCCTGCCCTTCAAACTCAGTCACTCTAACACAAACACTCTCGCTCTTCCTCATACACACCCACCTGAACACACCCACCAATACAATCACACACATTGCATAAAGCACTGAAAGAGCATTTAACAGGGGTCACTCTTGGAGGTTAAGACGCTAATAAACAAAGTCTCTCTGACGTGCACACTTATCAGACCTGGAAGGCACATGCAGGCACGTTCACTCTCTCGTGAACCAACCTAAACCTGGACAGACAAGGAGGTGTCCTCTTCTGGCTCAGGTCCAAGCGTAGACTATCCACACGCTTTAATTACTTCTCAAATAACTTGTGGAAAGCGGCCCAGTCAGATGACAGATCGCTGCGTTATTTATTATTTGGAGTTCGGGGAACTTTTCAAGGGCAGAAAGGAGCCCACCTGTGCAGGACATATGTCCTCTATACGCCTACACTCTTAAAAAAGATCTTCAAGAGTTCTTTATTAAATTGGTTGTATTTAGAACCATAAGTTCTATACAGAACCATTTCATGCTTAAATGGTTCTTTGCATAGTGAAATGGTTCTTCAGGTTGATGGAGAATGTATTATATATGGAAATGTTTGAGCATGTTTCTATACAGCACCAAAAAGGGTTCTGCTATTGTTACAATGTCAATGTGGGGGAAAAAAAATGGAAGAACCCTTTTTGGTGCTAGACAGATTTCTATATAGAATTAATGGTTCTAAATAACCCTTAAAGAACCATTTTTTGAAGTATGTAAACTATCCACACACTTTAATTACTTCTCAAGTAGCTCTGGGCAAACAGCATAGTCAGTTATTTATTATTCGGAGCGCGAGGAACTTATCAAGGGCAGAAAGGAGCCCACCTGCGCAAGAGACATGTCCTCTGGACGCCTATAGGTCACTGTGCATTCTTTGCGCTCTGCTTTAAAAGGCAAAACAGGCAAAACAGGCTGTATTCGTAACCAGTACAACAGAGACTACAGCTGTACAGTGCAACGATCGCATTACCTACAGCAGGAAGAACATGGAAGCTCTGACTGCAGCCAAAAAAAGAAGCACTGAGCCCACATAACACTAAATTGCTCAATTTTAAGCGCGTTTAAATCTGTCTCCAAAACAAACTAACCGTGCTTTGTTGTTCCTGTCGTGCTCCAGCCATGTTTCAACCAAATGCATGCACGTCGAATAGAAGAGGAGGCAGTAATGGTGTATACCGTGGTGTTCAGCGCAGAGACGAACACAAGAAGCTCAGAGGAACAAATCTGACATGTCGAGCTACCAATAGAGCGTAAAGCGACTGTATGTGTACTGTGAAGAAAGACAGGCTGGGACATACCTTCAAATCCGCAGCGAGTCGAGGAACTTCTAGCCAAAGCAGACTCGACTTTACTTTCGCTCCGCGCTCTTCCGCAGCTGCGCACTGAGAGCTGAGAGCGGCCTCACCTCACCGGCGCGCGACGTTAGGGGTCGTAACATTGGAGGAGGTTACGCTGGGGTACAAACCCAACAAAATGAGCAAAAATGAGATTTTCAGTTAAAAAAAAATAGAACTATGCTTACTATTCCTGTCATAGTTTCACTTAAACTAAATCTATTTTATGTCACACGGGACCAAAGCACAACACGAGACATCAATGTTTTATGTTTAGGGCTGTCACTATCGATTATAGTGATCGGATCGATTATTTATTTAGCGATTATTTTGACTAGTAATCGAGAAATCAAATGTTTTAATCATGGCAAAGCGATGAACATGGATTTAACTGATCAATATTAAACCGTAAAGGTCTTAGGTCTTTAAGCATTCCATATAAATGAGTACACAAATAAAGAAATTGATAAAAATCAATAGATTGTAAAGCGATGTAAAATCGATAGAAAGTGATAATAGAAAGGTAATAATAGAAAAAATAGAAAGTGCTATTGGTAGGGGTGAAAAGATTTATGTAGAAGGTGGTCTATGGAATGAGGTTCAAAATTATCTACAAAATTTGAATCTCCATGACACTCTTCTTAGTAACAATACAATGTGATGTGGCCATGCTATTATAAAGGCTTTTTAATTCTAAAAGAAGTGCAATTAAAAATACAAAAACACTTTGTGGCATATAAATGGGTGGATGCTAGCCATGGCATGCTAGTTGATGGATTGACAGTTCTCTCTGTCATGTAGAGCTGATTCTCCCACAGATTCTGGTTTCCTCCCACAGTCCAAAGACATGCAGTCAGGCCAATTGGACATGCTAAAATTGCCCCTAAGTGAATGTGTATGTCTGTCTGTCTGCCCTGCGATGGACTGGCAACCTGTCCAGGGTGTATCCTGCCTTCCGCCCAATGACAGCTGGGATAGGCTCCAGCACTCCACCGTGACCCAGAAGGATAAGCGCTTTAGATGATGTATGTATGTGTATATATATATATATATATATATATATATATATATATATATATATATGAGTAATCGTGAACACAAGCGTACATTTAAATGGTCTTCTTTGAATCGTGGTTCAAAGGTTCTGGTATAAAAACGTCTGGGCAATATAACGTTTAAAAACACAGGAGTTATAAAGCTTGATAAGCCAGTCGCACCCATATTTGTGTTTATATGTGCTGCACGTTTGTCTCTCTCTGTGTGTGTGTGTGTGTGTGTGTGTGTGTGAGTAGTATCTTTACTGACATGTGTTGAAAGGTAACTGTCTGGTAGGAGTCAAACACGTAAAGCTAAACAAAAAAGAAAAGTGTTGAGTCTATTCTCAAATGTGCCCAAATCATCAAGAGCTGTCAGATCATCTGGAAAAAAAACAACTCCATCTCATCTTTATTAATTGATCTGAGAGCTCTTGCAGAGATATATGAATTCACTGAGGTACACTGGATCAAGAAGAAGGATAGGAGTAATATGTTCCCTAATTCTGATACGGGTCACGATGTGTGCATTTTGTACCCTCTCTATATGAGTAATAGAGCTCTCCGAAAACACAGATAAAGGAGCATTACAGTAATCCAAATGAGTTGACACAAAAGCATGTACAAGCAAGTTTTTCACAATTGGCAGTATTTAAGACGTCTCGGATCTTGACTACACTTCTAACATGGTAAAATGCTGCTTTACAAATATTGCTTCTGCATGTTGTTTGTCCTACTTAAGGCCAGTAGATGTCAGTGTTGAACTAGCTGGATTACTAAGTATGGCTGCAGGCTGCTGTCTGCCTGTCTCAGCTGACCTATAGCTAATACAGCTCTCACAGCATTTATTTAGCAGGACCTCCTTAAGGAATTCAGTCCTTACGACAGCTCCAGTTTCCTACTATACTTATGATGTATTACATATGTTTGTCCTGTGTTTTGCAAGGAGTTAAGACGAAATATGTTTTATTTGTGGTGTTAAAACTGTTTTTAGAATATCATCATCATCATCATCAAACATTTCTGTATCACTGTAAAGATGTCATGTACTTGTATTTTAATAGTGATATTGCCTCTTCTATCTTGAGAGAGAGAGAGAGAGAGAGAGAGAGAGAGAGAGAGAGAGAGAGAGACATAGAGTGCTTTCGTGATTAAGAATTTAGACGATAAACGAGGAAGTAGGTGTTGAACAGGCATACACACATAAAGAGCCACATTCACTTACTAATAGACATTTGTACTCATCTGCGCTGCATGGTGCATTTTGCATTTTGTATTGCAATTCTGAATATTTTTAACCTTTCACCATTATTGAGGATAGACTAAAAACTTAAGGTAGGAATGCATTTTCTTTAATTTGGAGTTTAGATGTTGAAATTTAAATAGCAAAGTAAATAAAACATTAATTTCTCTGTTATATTTCTAGGCCTTTGTAGTACAAAAGTCTTAGGCACCCAAACAAACTGTTTAACCCCTTGAAATCCCTGGCTTATTATTACATATTAAGTCTTATTATTCAGGTACTACAGGGACTTCTTTGCAAGCTGGCTGAGCTATTCTTATAAAATTGTTCACTAAAACTTTGGACCAGCCGGCGAGCCCTGGCCATGTAAGGGATTAAAACCCCTTTTCTGGACAACACGTGTGTTCCTGCTTGTAAAAACACCTTTGAACATTAAAATAAATTCAAATAAACTTGAATGCAGTCAAAAGTAAGAAGAAAAAGTAGTTGATATCTTGTGATCTAGTTAGAAAAACAGATTTGTTGCCAGATTTCTCCTCAATGCCTCCAGTCATCTCTTAGACTTGTTCAAATCCATCATCAGCACACTTGATATATTTAAATGAAGAACTGATTAGCCAAACCAGGTGCTGGATTACGACTACAAATAATACTACGAGGACATATTTGTACACGGTTAAGCAAACACATTCACATGCATAAAATCACCTTATATTGTATTAATATTATTTTTATTAATTTAATAAATAATATTACAGTTTTTCTGAACAAAGAAATGTCTATTGTCCCGACACACCACTGTATGTCTATGTTTGTTTTCCCTTTTATGGCTGTCCTAACAGAAAGGAGAGCAAATGGATGTGCAATCAGGACCCCCAACCCGAGGTTCTTTGTAAGTGGTAGTTCTTTACTTTCTATTGTTCAAATCACAGCTTGGCTAAAAAAGTTGTTAGCTGAGTATTTAGGTCAGTAACAGTCTTTACCTGAAGAGCTTTTTGCTTAACCTAGGCCTGTTTTTATCGCCTACTTAAAGGAGAATTCTACAATTGTTCAGAGTGGAATGATGTGAAGTGAGCCTTTCTACAGAAACTCTAGAATTCAGAATTACTCACAGTGAGAGGAACTAGATGTCCAAACCATTTAATGTCTTTAAAAGAACATCACAGAACATCATTACATGAAAAGGTTATAAATATGCTGTATGATGCCTGGAACATTGTGAGACTTTGCTTTACAATATCTTTGGGACAGGATTTTGGCCTAAAACATATATATAAATATATACATATTTAAAATCCTTTCTTGGTGGAGAGGTACATGCAGGCCAAAGAAAATCATCACCATTACATATACAAATCAGAGCTGGTGTCCTTAGTGTTTTCTGGTCACTTTGGACAGCAAAAATAAAATGGATATTTTTATTTGTGACGTCTGGTTCTTATCACCACTGTAAAGATATCTGAAGCACTACGTTTCTCTACAATTAACCTTTCCTGAAACCACTCTGAATGACTTTGTTAACATTGCAACAACTGAATTACGCTGAAATTTTGGAATTCCCCTTTGACGACCCTCTCTAGTTAATAATGAGGGTTTGATGAGATTATCCAGTTTGTGTGTTATTTCATGGTTTTATGGAAATGTTTTGCATTGATTTATTTATTTGAAATGAATTGTTTTTTCAGGCTGTATGCAAAACAGCGTCTAGCTCTCATAATGCCCTTTGTATGGAATGCTTACTCCAAACCCTGTCCATCAGGTGCATGTGAGATGCTCACTCTAATTCTCCTGTGTATCCTCGTCTCATTCACCATCTCAACCCTGCTATTTGTGTGGATGGTGTTCAGTTTGGGCTATACCCACTTTGTGGCTGGTATTTTAACTGGTGTGAGTGCATTGGTGATGCTGCTGCTGTTGATCTTGGTGCACCCTGTGCGCTGTGTAATAACAGTGACTGTGCCATCGCTGGGCACCAAACAGGGTCGTAAGATCATCCTGTCCACGGCACTGCTGTATGCCATCACCTCCTGTGTGCCCAACATCACCAACAACATGGCCCGCAGCCTCCACATGATGAAATGCAGTGCAGGCAACATCACCCACAGCGTGCTGGAGTCCTGCAATGTACCCAAAGAAGCTCTAAGAGACATTGAGAACAAGCTGGCTGATTTGCCCTTGATTAGCAGCAGAGACTACTTCTTTAAGCTGGAAAGTGACGTGGATGTAAAGGACATGGAGAAGAGTCTCTCTCAAGTTTCTGAAAGTGTGAAAGCAGACCTTGCCATGCTACACAGCACAGTAGGCCAGGTTTCCCAGGTTCTCAAGAAGATAATTGCTGCACTGTTCGTAGTTTTAATGATAGGCAGTTCGGTGGTCTATGTGAAGGGCTACCTGACACATATTAAACATGATAATGTGTACCAGTCGCACCAGCTGATGGAGGCTTTGCAGAGAGTGAGTGGTGATGTCACGTTGCCCAGGAGCTACAAGAAGAAGCTGGTGAAGACCTCTGGGGTGCGGATGAGCGCTCGTGAGCTGAAGCGTGGTCTCTGGGGGATGCTAGCCCTGCTTATCTATGCCTTGATGTGTGGGATCATGCTTGGCCTGGACCACTTTGTATACAGGTCACTGCAGTCGCTCCTGGCATGGACCTCAGACATCCCTGACATTCGGGCTACTGTGCATGTTCAGATGACAGTGAGTACAACATTAACCATACTCACTTATTTTATGAAACCTAGTGACCACTCCTCCGTAGACAGCAATTTCTATAATGCAATCAGTGGTTTGACTCCTCTGGGGGGTGGAGGTTGGGGGGGGGTGGTGGCGGGGGGTGGCAATTGCACTGGGGCCCATGGTGCCAGTGGGCCTGCACTATACTGCAAAAATGGTAACTTGGCAAATAAAAATACCTTAAATCTAGTCAGTATATCTAATATTTCTTATTTTGAAATTGTTGTAAACTATAAGTTAGAAGTTTATTTTCGTATTGTAGCCTATTATTATTTTCTTGCCCATAGAATCCTGGTTATGCATCCATTACAGAAGCTCGCTAGCTCTCAAGCATATTTCTCTGACCATGATTCATTTAGCCTAACCATATGCCTGATAATTAGCAAAGGCTATGAGTGTGTATCTGCAAATGTCGAAACACCCAATATGGTCTTATTTATGGCCTTTTTTCCCAAAACAGCTGAAGCCTAGTTCTAGCCAAAAATCTAGTTCCCACTGATTGTACAACTCTGTCCAATACAAGATTTCCAGAAGATTAATGTACTTCATCCTGTACACTTATAGACTGGTAGACTTTTGAAAGCTCTTAAATTGTTCCTGGCTTGGATAGGGGAAACATTTCATTGGTATAGAATTTTTGCATTATGTGTTTGAGGCCCTTTAAAGTTGAAAAAATGATTTCTTAAAGAACCATCCATTGAAGGTTCTTCTTTGGCAGCTTTTATGAATGTAGGCCATTTCTTTCTAAACAGCTGTATTATCACTTCACACACTCATGAATCGATGTCTAAATGGATTTTGAATGTTAAAATTTGGGAGTTCTCCACTTTCATTGCTTATTTGTTCTATTTGTTCTAATTTTCAGATCAAGGGTACATTCATTGGTTTCATTCGCCATGATATTCAACAAATGAATAGCCATTATCCCTACACTGTGTCGATGCTGCCTCCGGGGTGTGTTCAGTCACTATCTGCACCAGAACACTCTGTCCTGACCTTAATCTGTACCTTCCTGACCATTGCTTTCTTCATGCTGCTTGTGGAGGTGTTTGCCCGACGCCTCCGCCGCAAAGTCTGTGCCTCATTTTACCGTAGCCGTGAGGAGCAGCGCACCCAGTACCTTCTGTGGAAGATTCTAGAGAAGAGAAAAAGACCAGAGGGAAGTGATGACTCATAACAGTAATGTCTTAACTTTAGTGTTCTTATTTGAGCAGCTACTTTGTACTTGGGGTAATTTTAAAGCATATGGTATCTAATTCAGTGTTTATGTACATTGGCACAAGTTTATGCTTGTCAGTTATACAAAATATTGTTGATTTTGTGCACAAAATAATTAAACAATGTAATTGCACTTGTTGAAGTTTCTATTTATGCGTTTAGCGTAAAACTACATAAGTATTAATCCAATATTGCTTATCTGATTGGTCCAGCAAGAGAATCATTCTTTGTGTGGCTCTGTAATACAGACAAATCAGGGGATAATAATGAAATAATAATATTATCTTTTATTTAGTGAACACTTTTCTTACCCGTGGCAACTCAAAGTGCTTTACAGACAGGTGATACAACTCATCAATAATAAAGAAACTGTGAGTATTAATTTAAAATTATGTAGGACAATGATACAAATCAAATTAAAAAGATACCAAAAGAGATGTAGAATTTGAATTAACCACTTAGTTGAAGAGATACATTTAATTTTTTTTAAGTGTGTACTGATCTTGACTGTCTAATAGAAAGTGCAATTGAGTTCCACAGTTTAAAAGCACAATAAACAAAAGAGGCCTGTCTACATTTTCTGTTTTGCGGAAGGTATTTGCAGAAGGCCAGTATCTGCAGATCTAAGATCACATGCAGGAGCATAAACAGACATACATTCTGTGATGTAAATGGGTGATAGGTCATTTAGAGCCTTAAAAACTAGCAGCAGACCTTTAAACTCTATCATAAAACACACAGGCAGAATGTGCAGTTCTTTCAAAATAGGAGTGAAATGGGCTCTCTTATTTGTTTTTCTTAGGAACTATGCTGCTGCATTTTGTAAAAGTTGTATTGTTTTCTTAGAAAGGCTGGCAACAAATGCTTGTAACAAATGCGTATGTTTTTCCGCATTCACTCTGAGATATAAAAGGTCGAAATTTAGCAATATTTTTCAACTGATAAAAAGCTAGTGACTGCATTTGCATGCAGTATAAAACACAGGGGTCACTGATCAGTGTTTTCCAACCCTGTGTATCTTTTACAGTACTGTAAAGAAGGAGGAGAAAGGAAGAGTACAGAGAGAAATGGGGAGAGACCATTAACTGACAATAACTTTGCTGCGTTCTCTCTCTTCTCTGGGTGATATGAACAGGAATCGGTAATCTCCCTAAAGCTACAACTGGCTATTCAGGGAAGCTTTTTGTGTGTGTTTGAGAGAGCAAGATAAAGAGAGGGGGGGGAGAGAAAAAGAGAGAAATGAAATTTGTGTGACTAAGATATCAGACAGTGTGCAAATAAGTTTATCTGTTTATACTTACATAGCAAAACCATGCATGGACAAATTTCTGAGTAAAGAGAACTGAGTGTCTGATAATAGTTTATTTATGTTTAGTGCACCAACACCCTGATGACTCATTTATTGACTAATTCAATCATAGCTAGATAGATAGAAAGCTCTCTTACTCCCTCATCTGATCTATCTGTAAAATGTGCCAACTGAATATCAGACCATAATCAGTTGATGCACTTATTGGAGAATGGGGCCACACATTAGTGTCTGTATGCAAAGTATGTAGACAATTGACCATCATATCCATATACACATGTTGATCTCATTATGAAACCTATTAATAGGCATTTGGAGTTGGACCCATTTTGCTACTGCAACTTCTATTTAGCCACAAGAGAATTAATGGAGTCAGGAACTGATGTTAGGCAATAAAGCCTGACTCACAGCAGGCATTCCAATTCATTCCAAAGGTGCTGGATGGGGTTGAGATCAGGGCTCTGTGGAGGCCAGTTCTTCCACCTGAAACTCAGCAAACGTTCATACATGTAAATACTTCTCAATGTAAGCAGCTTTTCTCAGTTCTGCATTGCTCATTTTCTTTCTTTCCTTTTTTAAGGTCAGAATTTATTACAGCAGGGAGCTCCTGACTAGTAGAAAAGTGACCTATAAAAAGAAACACTTTCAAAAAACAGCCAAAGGTCATTATCTACTCTTCAACAATAGCACAACAGACTCTGGCCTTTGAGACTGAATGATACTGCATAGTGTCCCTCAGGGGAGAGGCTTTTATGCTCAGCCATCCATTCTGCTTTCACACAAGTTAAACACACACATAAATCGGTCTGTCGTTTGGAAAAAAAAGGAGGACCATAGTTTACATGCAGAATAAAAATAAACAGAATGTGTAAGAATATCTTATTTTATTGTCCACAAATCACAGTCTCAAATATTGCAAGTGTTAAATACACAGATGAATCTAGGAGGCTCAACACAGAGAAATGGGATCAAATACTAATGAACTGGCAACACCACTTATGCCAAAAGTGAACATGTTGCGTCTTCTGTGAGGAAGGGTCAGGATGTGAAAATGCATGCTTTAAATTATCAATGACTGTTTGTTAACATCTTTATCATATCAGAAAATAGTCTTTTTCATTTAAACTGTTTTAATTGCTGCCCAAAGAAAAACATGTATTTTCATTTTCCCCATTTTTGTTTTTCTACCTAATTCGAGCACAGAAGATGCCTTTTACACTGTATGACATTTTTCATGAAGAGTGGACCAACATAAAATGCTCCAGAATTGACTGGAATGTAATCTCTTTATATGAACTTACACTGTAAGTAAAGAGTGTTGTTGCCCTCTCTTGTAAAGCTACTATTTTGGAGATACTTGTTTTTATTTGGACAGCGATGATATGTACCATCTATTTATAGGCAATTATCTCTGAGTTGGAGAAACAAAAAGAAGACTGGCTGATTATTTTGCTTGAGCACTTTGAGACATTAAAATCAAGGATCTCTCATTTTCTGTGGACAAACACATTTAACAGCAATGAGAATAATATGAATGACATTACCATTAATGTTGATCATTCGCGTTGTGGCAATAATGAAGGTGGGAAAGTTAAGGAACGAGAGACTCATCTACACAGTCAGATCTTTGAGACTTTGGAATTAATGTTCTGCTTCTTGAATTTAAATGTCAGCTGGTTCACCTTCTGCAACTTCAGAGACACTTTGTTTTCAAAGTGAAGGACTTCAGTCTGACACGTTCTGTTTCTCAAGAAACTTTGAGAACATTTTCCAACCTCTACACTCACCAATCATGTTATTAGAACCCACTGCCTTATAGCTCCATCTTGCTGGTGTTAGAGGCTGTAGCCCATCTGTTGATGCACAGTTTGTAGAAGTCATATTCTCACCCCTCATCAGTGGTCAGTTTCTGACCACAGAACCACTTTTGGTGCAATATTTTGAGTGGTGGACCACTCTAAACCTAGTAGTCACACTGACATGTGACTGACACCTTCAGACTATGTCAGCGTCACTGCTGTGCTGAGAATTCTCCACCACCCAAATAATACCTGGTCAACAGCGGTCCCAAAAACTGACCACTGATGAAGGTGCCAGACAAACATGACATCCAGTAAGTGTAAATACAATGTACTTCTAATTTCTTTTTAATGATAATTTATTTATATGATTTATTGACACCTATTTTAAATCGTTTTATTCAGAGTTCAGCGCTTCCCTGATCCAGTCGTTCCCATGGAAACGGGTCAGTGTTGTCCGGCACTGTTGGGTTTTGCCGTCCGCTCCAGAAATGTTCCAGATCCGGCAGAGTCCGGCCGAACGCGTCCGCGTGCACTTCGCTCGCGCTGCTCCCACGCTGCGTTTTGGCGTTGCTCACAGCGCGCCGACCCGCCACGCGGACGCATGCGCTCGTCAGGCTCTCCCTGAGCGGCACGAGCGTGCTGAGGAGAATGGCGGGAGAGAGCGCGCTAGCCAGGTACATACACACCTCCGCGAGCACGAGCAAGGCGGCGGGCGGCCCGCAGCCCTCGCGTGCGCCGTGACGCGCCCACGCCCACGCGCCCCACTCGGGCAGTAGCGCGAGCGCGTTGGCCGCCGTGACGCTGAGCAGCGAGAGGGCGATCTCTCCGCGGCGCGCGGCGCTGGCCTCGCGCGCTCTCGGGAGGCTCTTGAAGATGGCCCGCACGTGGCAGACGGCGGCAAGGACGACGGGAACGGCGTAAGCGGCGAGCGGGAGGACTTTACCGTACACGCGCACGAACTCGGAGGAGTGAGGGGGCAACTCGGACACGCACAGGCTCACGTTGCCCTTCACGTGCAGATTCGAGAACACGATGTCAGCGACGGGAAAGGCGAGCGCCGTCGTCCACACGGCGCCCGCGGTCATCACGGTCCGCTTCAGCTTAAAGTGCGCGTCGCTCTCCACGCGGGAGTGCAGGTCGTGGCGCGCGCGGCCCAGGAGCGCCAGCGTGAAGGCCTTCGCCGCCAAGCAGCCGTGCTGTAGCCACTCGGTTATCCGGCAGGCCACAGGCCCGAGGGTCCACGCGCGTTTGCGATACGTGAGCGCGCGTGCCGGAGCGCACAGCGCAAGCAGCAGCAGGTCCGTGGCGCTCAGGTTGACGAGCATCGCCGCCGTGTCTGAGGCGCCCGTCGCTTTCACGTTGTGCGTCAGCACGGCGAGCAGCAAGACGTTCCCGCCGATTCCGACCGCGCAGATGGCGCCGAGCACGAAGGGCAAGATCAGCGCCGTGTCCTCGCCGCTTAGCTGCTGAACTCCTCCATCGAAAGCCACGAAGGAGGCGTTGGCCGTCGTTTCCAGCTCCATTGGCGCGCGCGCGAACAGGTGCCCGCTGCTTCGTAACCACAGATTTTTTATATTCACGTTTTCTGGTTTGACATGGAAATATAATAATGATTATGGTAATAATAAATGTTTAAAGCGCCATCGCAGTAGTGAAGTGAGGCACAGTGAGTGGAGCTGTCCACGACCTAGTGGTGCTGAAGTCCGTCTCTCAGCGCTGAAGAGTTATTTTAAGATCTTTCAGTGTCGTCAAATAGGCGCGTCATGTGCGCGCTTTGTGGCTGCGGGGCACAGTGGCAAATGGACAGTCCATAACTGGGCTAACAGTTCATTTACTTCTTTAGATCACCCTGGGAGCGGAGTAGGGTGGATTCAGTATTACAGCCCTGACACGCTGACACGAGCAATCATCAGCTGATTTTCAGCCCTGCGTTACTTTTAAAGACGGGGGTAAAATTAAGAAAAGAAGCATATCGATGTATTAACCTTTTTGAAGGTAATGGGCCCCATTCACCAACATATTCCTGAGTTTTGTCTTAAATTTGTTCTTGAGAAAGGTCCTAAGAAAAAGTCTGCGTCAGATTCATGACGTGTTTTTAAACCGAACTGTTCGCACCTCAAGTCTCAACTGTTGCTCTTGAGTGTGTGTAGATTCCGTTCTTACCTAAGAACAAATCTCAAATAAGAAAACATTGGTGAATGTCAGAATCATCGTGAAAACTGCATAAGTAGGGTCTAAGAAGAAATGTCTTCCTAAGAACGTTTGGTGAATGAGGCCCAATGCCCAATGATGTGAAATCCAACAGAAGAATTGCATTATTGTCCAGTGCCTACGTCATGCGTGTCCCATACCCATGATGAAGCGTGTCGGCAAAATTCCAGCTGACCGCTTTCACCCTGGACATCACCTTTTCCAGCCACTTCCCTCTGGTAAAAGATTCAGGACCACCAGATCCAGCATAGCCACACATGCCAATGTCTTTTTTTCCAGAACTGTAGTGCTCATTAACCACAGTGCACACATCACACTTTAAATTTAACCTCAACCTAACAAACCCCCTACTGTATTACAGTGTAACTCCTCTGTAAGGTAATGCTTATTTGCACAACTGTACAGATGTTAATTTGTTCATATCATTCTGTAATATCTGGTATATCATTGTTTTTATAGTGTATGTCTACTCAGACCTGCATGTGTACAGATATTCATCTTTTAGCTCTTTCCACCTTGACTTTTTACTATTCTTTATTCTATGTATTCTATTTTTATTTTATTTGTCCCATAGATAAACCTTTGTTAACAGTCTATGTGCTTGCGTGGTCTGTTCAGTATGTTACATGTCGTACATGTGTGCACTCACTAAGACAAATTCCTTGCATGCTGTCATGCTGTCCCATATTACCTGTTGGCTCATAATATCTGAATCCACCCTGTGGGACTATGGGATGGGATTTGCTGTGTACATATTAAATCCACACAACTTTGTTGAATCCACATCACTCTGTGTATGTAAGTACAAAAGCCATTTTTGCCCACAGGTTAGTCTAGTATTGAAGCTCACTCGGTTGCAAGTAATACTGTAGATTTCTGTGCCGCATCCTTCCATTAGCCCACGCATGCGAGCTAAGAGAGCGTTTGCATTGCTTTCCCTCATCCTTCTGTACTCTCCCTCATACACGCACGCCTGTTCCTTCAAGAGAGACTTTGTGTAGGGAGGATTTAGCTGGAGGGCTTTCATGCGATGGATTGATGTATAGTCCGCATGAGGATGTGCAGCTAATCTACTTAAAAGGATTCTCTGAAAAATAGATTTGCCTTCATTTCTTCATTGAATAAAAAAACTTTGATGCAATGTACATTATTTATTTTAAACTTTTTAGATATTTAATTTTTATTTTATTTGGTTTGTATATGTTTCAAACAAAATGCTTCCATACATTTGATACTTTCTCTTACTTAATTAACTTCATTAATTTCATTAGCTTGTAAGGGATGTTGTGCCCTGTGCCTGGATCTGCTTTTTCGCATTTTGCAAATGATGTAAAGCACTTAGTCGATATTTTAATTAAGGTTTATGATTAGGATATTATATGGAGGAATGATTGCTTTTAAATTGTTTTAAATCCTATTTTTCTGCATTATTGTGAAAACGTTCCTTCTTACAGAATTTTTTTCAATTCTTCAAATCTAATAACCTCCTTCAGTTGCCATTAACTAATTGAGGCTGAGTTTCCTGAATGCATCTTAGTACAAAGACGATACTTAAATGGTAATGCAAGCATCACAATAAACACTCTCTCTATCAGATTTGGTGTTTTGGGAAACCTAGGACCAGTCAGTATGATGACCAGAATCAGGTCCCTTGCCAGTTCTGAGTCTTTCTCTCAGGAAAAAGTAGACGAATCAAATCCACCCCTTCTCAGTCTGTCTCATTGTGTACACAGAGCAGCCTGAAACACTGGGTTAATGTTCTTCTTGGAGCATTTCCACAAAAGGGAGAGTAGAATTTTTACTTAAGGGATGTGCTTTTAGAGGCCAAGTCTTCCTGAACCATCACGCTGTTTCTTTTTTCTCCCTCTTTCTCAGACACACTAACCTCTTATTTAAAGAGCTTCCCATGTCACTAGAAATCTCAGTCTAAAGCTCTCTGAAGCAGAAGCAAAACACAAAAGGAATACACTACAGCTGGGTAGCTTTCTGGGTCAAGCCAGCATGACCACAGTGGAAAACAAAAAATCATGACATCTAAAAATGTTTCTGAATGAGCCATCTTCATCTTACATTGGTGATCTAGTGTAGTAGAAAGAAATGCAAAATTGTGGAGTGTTAGAAGACGGTCCATGTGGTGAGGGCAACACTTAGGCTGAGGGCCCAGCTGGACTTGTTCAGTTCCCAACTGTCAATGGCTTAAAGATGTCTAACAAATAAGTGACTGAAATATTGGCACTGGCTGGCAGTCATATGTGTCCATGATTAAAGGAATAAAATTGGCATTTGGATAAATCATTACAAATCTTGTTAATTTCTTATCATAATAAAATAAGGCTGCAGTACAGTAAGCAACAGGTCATGTAGTATATTACAAGCCTTCAAAGTACCGCAATTTACAGTCAAGATAAGCTCTTATCAATTTTTCCCTACAGATATTAATAATAACAAGTTATTAACTAAGACATACCACGATGCATCTTTGTGCTGAATCTCTGCTGTTTGCTGCCCTCTGGTGGTTGACATTGTGAGCACCGTTCAGTCAGATTTCCACAGCATTTTTTCCCAGGTTAATTGAGTAGTTCTGTCAAAATGCTAATGTTGGGGAAACAGGGGAAAGAAACTTAGCCACATTAGAATGTTTTATCAAACAATTTCCTGAAGGTTTGAACTCTGGAAATCTGTTTACATAACGTATTGGGTGCTTCTGTGCCTGAAATGTGTTACAATAGGCTATATGATGTGGAATTCCAAAGCACAATTGTTCTGACCCACAAGATAAAAGATATGCTGAAACTGAAAAAGAAAGAAAAAAAGGAAAGTCTAGTTCCACAGAGCCTCACTACCCAACCTGATTTAACACATGTATCAGTAACCATGCTCAACTCACCAGCTAGGCACTTCAGGAGTTCGATCAGGTAGATTAGCGCAGGAAAAGTACTGTGTAGCTCAGTGTTTAGTACATTGCATCTATCCAGAGGTGAGAAGTAACTAGCTACATTTACCTAGTCACATTAGGCAAAAATTTGATGGAGTTGTATTTTCTTGGGTATTTCTACTCAAGTACATTTGTGGGGAAAGGAGTACATCAGTGTTTCCCAAACCTGGCTCTGAAGGCCCCTTTCTTTGCACATTTTAGTGTTTCATCTGATCAGGTCCCAGTTTCCCAAAACCATGTTAGTGTTAAGATAATCTTGACACCTACAGATAGTGTTCATTGTGATGCTCGCTCTACCATTTAGGTATCATGTTTGTACTTAGGTTTTGCCAGAGAACCCAAGTTTGAAATTGTAGATTACAGTTACATTCAGGCAGAAGGAAGTTAGTAGATTAAGTCTGAAAGACAGAAGAAGGAGTTCAAAATTCTGCTGAAATATACTGTAATAGGGAGTGTTATAATATCCTACACCGATCAGGCATAACATTATGTCCTTGTTTCTACGCTCATTGTCCATTTTATCAGCTCCACTTACTATATAGGTGCACTTTGTAGTTCTACAATTACAGACTGTAGTCCGTCTGTTTCTCTGCATACTTTGTTAGCCCCCTTTTACCTTGTTCTTCAGTGGTCAGGACCCCCATGGACCCTCACAGAGCAGGTACTATTTGGATGGTGGATCATTCTCTGTCAGTCCACCTTGTAGATGTAAAGTCAGAGATGATAGCTCATCTGCTACTGCCTAGTTTGTGTTGGTCATCCTCTATTCCTTCATCAGTGGTCACAGGACGCAGCCCACAGGACACTGTTGGCTGGATATTTTTGGTTGGTGGACTATTCTCAGTCCAGCAGTGACACTGAGGTGTTTAAAAACTCCAGCAGCACTGCTGTGTCTGATCCACTCGGACCAGCGCAACACACACTAACACACCACCACATCAGTGTTACTGCAGTGCTGAGAATGATCCACCACCCAAATAGAACCTGCTCTGTGAGGGTCCATGGGGGTCCTGACCACTGAAGAACAGGGTAAAAGGGGGCTAACAAAATATGCAGAGAAACAGATGGACTACAGTCTGTAATTATAGAACTACAAAGTGCACCTGTATTGTAAGTGGAGCTGATAAAATGGACAATGAGCGCAGAACCAGGGAGGTGGTCATAATGTTATGCCTGATCAGTGTAAATCATAAAACTGTACATGACACCTTTCATATAGCATCTTAGTGTTAAGATAATCTTAACTGCTTAAGAGAGTGTTCAGTGTGATGCTCGCTCTCCCATCTAAGAATCATCTTTGTGCTAAGATGCTTTCAGGAAACCCAGCCCTGCTTATTAACAACACCTAGTTGAGTTGAAGTGGGTGTGTTAAAGCAG